ATTTCTTACAAATATATGTGTGTATATATCTGTGTCTGTGTCTGTCTGCCTCTGTCTCTCCCAAGCAGTTATAGTCTGTTTCCTATTTGAGAATATATTGCAAAATAGTTATCCTAAGGCTATTTATTCAGTTTCATATTTGGATCATTCAAAGATTTAATTCTATATTTGCTTAAGATCAAGAGTTATGAATGGGCTTATTGAGTTGGTTCTGCGGCTAAAAGTGCCTGTCCAAAGTCTGATGATCTGAGTTTAGTCTCCAGGACCCACATGGTAGAAGGAGAGAACTGACTCCAACAAATTGTCCTTTGACTTTCACCTATATACCAGGGCACACAGAATAAATAAAATATAATTTAAACTTTAAAAAAAAGTGCTGAACTATTGAGCCTCTCTGATCACCTAGGTTTTAATAAAGAGGAAAGTGAAAACTCTACCCAGCATGTCATAGGACTAACTCATTTTTCTAGTAACTAAAAGTATCTTCCCTAAATTTCAAAATCTAGTATAAATATAGAAAATAAATCTATCAAAATGAAATAAAGAATAATATCAAGGTTGAGCCATGTGGTGGTGGTACATGCCTTTAATCTCAGCACTTGGGAGGTAAATGTGGATCTCTGAGTTTGAGGAGACTGGTCTACAAATCTAGTTCTAGGACAGCCAGGGCTACAACAGAGAAACCCTGTCTTGACCTCCCCATCCAAAGAGGAGGGTGCAGTAGTTATTCCTCCAATTGTTTTTACTTGAGTGGTAGAATTTAGTGGAACAGTTCCTCTGAGTGAGATGCTATTTATATTATCTCTTGAAGATAAACATCTCCAGATTTGTAGATTAAGAAATAAGAATAGGAAATGGGAGATAGTTTACTTAGCTATGTTTGAGCATAAACACCTGAGTTCTGATCCCTAGCACCCAAGCATGGCAGCACTCATCCACCTGTAATTCCAGTGCTGAGGAGGTGGGTAAAAGCAGATCATACTGGAGGTCATTGGGCAGCCTACCCAGTGAAATTGATGATTTCCAGGTTCACTGAGAGACCTTGTATCAAAAAAAAATACAGTGATGAGCCGGGCGTTGGTGGCGCACGCCTTTAATCCCAGCACTCGGGAGGCAGAGCCAGGCGGATCTCTGTGAGTTCGAGGCCAGCCTGGGCTACCAAGTGAGTTCCAGGAAAGGCGCAAAGCTACACAGAGAAACCCTGTCTCAAAAAACCAAAAAAAAAAAAAAAAAAAAAAAAAATACAGTGATGAAGCTGATACCAGGAGGGGATAAGGAACTTGCTGCTAAGTCTGACTACCAGAGTCCAGTTCCCATAACCAGCATGCTTTAAGGAGAGAACCTACTTTACAAGTTCCTACTTCCCTGACCGTACATGCACACATTTCCTCCATGAATATATACACAATAAAAGCTGGAGAATCACTCAGGAGGACACTCAATGTCAACTGACGGTTTTCACGTGCCTGCACATGTGTGTGTGAACCTGTAAACCCTTACTTCCTTCTCTCTCACACACACAAAAGAAGCAGGATTAAGTAAGTGGCTGTTTGAGGTAAACAACTAGTGCATTTGATATATTTGTACTTTTTTGAAAGTATGGACTATTTAACAAAGACACTAGAAGTTATTAGTAGGACATGATTACACGCTTTCAGGTCAACACCATTACTTGATGAAGTTCACTGAACAACTTAATGCTTTTGATGGGCTGTGTCTTTGGTACTAAAAGGCCAAGTTGCCTGATTTTAGGAGTTCAGTGACTTGGCAGTCACACATCTCTTTATTTTATCTTAAAAAACTTTTTTTGGAAACAGTCTCCAAACAACTATTTCTTGATGCTGAAATTTCTCATTGTTTATATCATGGGGGAATGATTATGAAATGTCCCACTCTGTACCTATTTCTCTTTCAGAACTGAGATTTGTTAGCCAAATGTTAATTTTGGAGAAACATTCAGTGACATTACCTCAAAGCTACACTTCTGATGTGTAACATTGTCACATTGTCTTTGAGTTTTAGTATATGTCTTTTTAGTACATTTTCTTTTCTATTTATTTATTTATTTATTTATTTATTTATTTATTTATTTATTTATTTATTTATTTATTTATTTATTTTTTCTGGGACAAGGTTTCTCAGTGAAACAGCCCTGGCTAACCTGGAACTCAGTCTGTAGACCAGACTGCCTCTGCCTCCCGAGTGCTGGAATTAAAGGCTTGTGCCACCACCGCCTGGCTTTAGTATATTTTCTATTAAGAGATATATTTGCACATATATGTATCTGTTACAAATAGTAGACTCTGACTCCAAGGAAGATAATGTAGTCCTGTCTGGTGAATCTCATTCTTTGTAAGGGTAGGGTAGACAACCAAGTAGTACAACTCTATTGCCAAGAAATTTAGCAGTCGGTGTATGTTTTAGACTCATTCCTGGGAACTCTTAAATTGTGAATCAGGCACATGTAAGACTACAGATTTGTCTCACACTGTTCTTCCTCCAGTAGAGCTTTTGCAGGCTTTTTGCGGGGTGAGGTTCCCTGTATAGCCTTGCCTCCCAAGTGCTGGGATTAAAGGGGTAGGCTAGGCCACCATCACCTGGCTCAGTAGAGCTTTTGATGTGGTTGAATTATGGGGTGATTGTAAGATAAATTTTACTCTTGGCTTTATAAGATTGACTAAACTTCATGTCTTGTGTGAGTCGGCTTTTCTATTTAAATTTTATTACTTGAATCCCTAGAGTTCTTCTGCTTGCATTTACCCAAAATTGTGCTTGGCATTAGATGTGGGTTTCTGGGAACATTTGTTGTGTTTGTTTAAATGAGAATGACCCCTCCCACCCAAGAGGATTGAATGGTTGGTCCCCAGTTGGTGGAACTGTTTGGGAATGATTAGGAGTTGTGGCCTTGTTGGAGGAGGTATGTCACTGGGGGAGGGTTTTGAGTTTTCACAAGCCCAAGCATCCCCAGTTAGCTCTCTCTCTCTACCTCCTACTCATGGATCAGGATGTAAGCTCTCAGCTACTGCCTCAGCGCCATGCCTGCCTGCCTGCTGCCATGCTCCCTGCAATGATGGTCATGGACTCACCCTCTGAAACTGTAAGCCACAAATAAACTCTTTCATCTATAAGTTGCCTTGGTCATGGTGTCTTATAGCAATAGAAAAGCAGCTAAGACACATGGTCTAAACATGGAGTGGTAATGGGAGCTCTCTTTGTGTTCTGTCCCTGTCCTACCCTCAAAGCACACATTAATAGAATAGAGGCTCTATAAGTGGCCACTCATAAACAGAATTAAAAAAACCTGAACCTTGTGTTTTTCTGACTAGAAACTATCGTTAGCTGTGTGATTATATCACTTCTCTCTGCAAAGTGGGGAAACATCATGTGATGTATTTTGTTTATCCAGGTTTGCAAAACACTTAACACTTCTTGGCACATCATAAGCATTTGATAAGATGGTAGTTTTTCTTTTTTTAATGTGTTCCTTCAAAAAAATTTTTTTTTTACATTTTTATTTCATGTGTTTGAGTATTTTGCCTGTATGAATGTCTGTGCACCATATTTGTGCAGTGCCTGTGGAGGCCAGAAGAGGACATCAGTTACCCTGGAACTGGAGTACAGACAATTGTTAGTCTCTGTGGGTGCTGGGAACTGAACCAGGTCCTCTGGTAGAATAGTCAGTGCTCTTAACTGCTAAGTCATTTCTCTAACCCTTACGTTCTTGATTTACGTGGTGTTGGATTTGAGGCTATCAGTTGTGGGAGCTTCCATGGGAAAAATGGCTTTGAAATGAATGCAAAAAGTTGGCTAAAATCAAGCAAGTTAAAAAGTATAGTAATCTTAAATTGTTCCTTTTTTATTTATTCTTATTTTATGTGCATTGGTGTTTTGCCTGCATGTATGTCTGGGTGATGGTGTGAGGTCTCCTGAAACTGGAGTTTATAGACAGCTGTGAGCTGCTATGTGGGTGCTGGGAATTGAACCTGGGTCCACCTGGGAAGGCAGTCAGTGCTTTCAACCTCTGAGCCATCTCTCCAAGCCCCTTAAATTGTTTTTCTACACATGGGTATTTCTAAATTTCCAAATTACTTTACTTATTACTTCTAAATTTTGTGTGCATGCATGTGTGTGTGTGTGTGCGTGTGTTTTGTATACACAAGTGCAGGTGCTCACAAAGGCCCAACATTTTATATCCCATGGATCTGGAATAACAAGCCACTCAAGTTGGGTGCTGGGAGCCTAACTCGGGTCCTCTCCAAGAACAAGTTGAGCTGTTTACTGCTGAATCATGTCTCCAACCCCAAATTACTTTACTTTTAAATAACCTAGTTGTGATTTGTGGATGTGACGCAGTTTGAAAAACATTTGGAGTATTGAAAAAAATGAAGTACTGATGTAAATTGTGGCTGACTAATTAATATGTTCATTGCTCAGTGTGGCTGCCACTAGCCACATGAGGCTAGCATGGCAAAGGAACCCAAGTTGACCTAAACTTTTAAAGATTTATTATTAAAAATTTCTTCAGATATTTTATCTACATATGAGGGTTTTGTCTGCATGTTTATAAGTGTGTTAGAAGGTGTCAGTTCCCCTGAAACAAATGGTTGTGAGCTACCATGTGAGTGCTGGGAGTCAGATTCTCTGGAGGAGTTACAAATGTTCTTAAGTGCTGAGCTATTACTCCAGCCCATAAAATTGATCTTTTTAAAGACAAGGTTTTGCTGTGTAGCCCTGGCTGGCCTTAAATTCATGGTTTTGGGGATCTCAGCTTCCAGAGTGCTGGGATTAGAGGTGGGTATTGACTTCCTAGCCCTTTAATTTCTTTTAGTTTCATAATTTAAATGTTAAAGTATAACTATGTGTGGTTAGTAGCCACTATTTGATAAACAAGCACATGAGTGAGCTTCCAAGTGAAATTATGAATATAAGTAATAGTTCTATTCAATTATTTATTTGTAGTTTATAAATTTATTACATAATGCTGTTTGTTTTCGTTGTAGGTCTCCAATTGAGGAACATGGCACTGTTTTTCCTGCACTCTACCCACCTATTGCTGGACTTCTGTTGTAACAAGTTGGCAAACTCTGGCTGGAACTGGGCTGCAATAAAACATGCCAGTCATTAATGCTGACAAGAGCCTAACAAGTGCCAACTTACAGATGATTACGCATTTTGAATTCTAATGAACTGTTTTAACCTTCAGGAAGAATTGTAAAGACCTGTACATAGCACAACATGATCCGGATAATATATATACTGTTCATGTACATCCACAAACACACCTTGTACCAAATAATGCTTTCTTGTAGTAGAATAAGAATCGTGTAAATTCTAAAAGACTTTAGCAGGTTTTCTTTTCCTATTCATCGTTTCTTATCAGTTCAAAAAGATTCCTTAAAGCATGTCAGGTGAAAACCAATAAGGATTAAAAGTTTCCATATAATTTCCTTTAAACCATTAAGTCTTCATTACACTCTTTCCATTTACTAATCTTTTGTATTTTCTTTGTTTTGACACACTCCCCTTTCCTTTTATCTCTTCTATCTGCCAGAAAGTTCTCAAATCACTTAGTTAAAATACTGAAATACTAGTAAATTACTTGATTTTCCACGATGACTTCAGAGGTGGGGTCATCACTAGGTGCTTTGTCCTTTTGTACTGGGATTCACCCATCTCTTGGATTGGATGTAGCAATAACATTTTCTGGCTGTTGAGAGCTCTTGATCCTAGTCATAATCTCCTGAGAACTTTAAAAGAAAAAAGAAAAAAAAATGTAAAGTCTGTTCTAAGTTCAACTTAGTGAAATTTATTGCAAACAGTACAAAAATCCAGATTTGGTTTTATTTTTGCCCTCGAGTTGCCTAATATTAAGGTTGGATGAATAAAGCATGCACAGCTCCAGGCTTTCTACATCTGGGATTGCTATTAAAAATGCTATTTGTCCTCTCACCCTTTCCTTAGTCCTTCATATTTCTTTGTTTCTTTACTGCAGATTTCCCTCACCTATTGTACAAAGAAATTGCGATGTATATTTTCATGTAATTTGATTTTGGAATTTTGTCACCTTATGTAGTGAGTTCTTCCAAAATATAATTTTTTCCAATAATTGTCAAGTTGTTGGCTTTTATTGTATTAAATGAAGGTTATAGTACTGAATACCAGAGAAGTGCAGTTTAGAAAAATCTCAGGTTGATTCCTTATGCAAACAAACTTAATACTTGAAAATCTCATGGCCATGGCAGTATACGTATTGGGTTCTGTCTAGATTCTTTATCTGAATCTAAAAGCATTACAGGGGGTAAGTCTTTTGCTAACTGACATACATATTTTGTCACTGACATAGTGCAGTTAGGTTTGATTTTTGTTTGAGCATAAATATGTTTCCTAGACAGTTTTCTAAAACAACTTCAGTGATGGGTAAAAGTAGTACGTTCAGTGTTAAAAGACAGGCCTAAGCTCCTGTCTGGTTTTAGCTGAGAATGGGAAGTAGTGTTTGGCATATAAGATCTAGAGCATACGACAGGTGTTTGATTGTGAGAATAGGTAGGGCTCTGCCCCATGGGGTTTGGATAAATCTTTTGGCAGAAGAGGGAATGAAAGGTTTCCTGTCAAAGTCAGAACTTCCAACCTCTTATGTCTTTTTTTAAGTAGAGGAGAAATGGATGAGGATGTAGTTATGATACAGCACCATTTTTAAATCAGTTTTCTTGGGAGCATTGTAAAATCTTATAAACATTAAAATCCATAAATGTGTAGCAGCTGTGAACACCTTGATTTGATTTCATTGGAGCCCAATTCTTAAGAACTTTTAGACATCCCTCCTCCCCCGGACTAGAAGTTACCCTACAGTGCTACTGTTCTCCTACAAGGGCCTGGGAATGCAGTCTTCTTCACTCTCCATTCAGAAATTGTCCTCACAGTGGCTGCTTTGGCAATGTGGAGTTTTTTGCTCTTCTATTGCTGAGATTCTAGCCCTCTGTTGAATTAAAATCCAGGGTTTGACTGCTCTGCAAGTAGTAAACGCCCTAGTAACTCAGGGACAGCTGTTTCTGAATTTATATGTGCCACGGTATTCTATTTACCTTGGGATAACCGTGTGGTTCTTTGTGCTAGATCAAGGACTACTGGAGAGCTAAGAGTGACTGCCTTTCTTCTGAAGGTCTTTCCCCTTATGGTGCCCTGACCATGTTCTACACATGAAACAGAAGCCACAATGTTATGGCTTACTTTCCTATCAGAGATGTCATCTGTGCCTTTCCTAGTGTTCATCTGACAATGTGGATTTAAATGCCTCTACATTTGATTTAAAACTCACACTCAGGTGGCTTTTGTCCCACTAAAGCATCATCATTAGTCTGAGGCATTTAGAGAAAGTTCCATCACTACCCCACACCCCTGCCACCTATATCAGTCATCAGCTACACCTATAAAGTCCTTTAGATTATAGAAGTGTTGGCTGTCCCCTAATTTATTCCAAGTTCTTGTAGAGGCTTGCGAATTTCAGTCTGTGTAATGGGATGGTATTGGTGGCTTTATGGCCTTATGTGTTTAAAATCCACACAGTGATTTCTTTGTCAATAGAAGGTAATGCTCAAACATTTGGTTTTTTTTTTTTTAATTAGTTTTGTGATACCTGGGTGTCATAGTATCATTTAATGGCCTTTGTTCCCAGTTGTGAAGTTTTATTTATATGCTCATTCACTCTCTACAAACCTGCCCACTTTGGGTCTTGGCGCCTGTGTATCTTTGTCTGGTCTCTAGTTGGTGGAATTACCTTCTTTTTGTACTGCCACTTCTCAACATTTTCGAAGTTTGACATAATGTTTTGCTTCATTCCAGTTTTTTTTTTTTTTTAGTTCTGTAATTTGTTGACTGTATTTAACTATGTGAGTTTTGTTGTGATGTTTACTGTATTGTAAAGCACCTTAATCATGTGATGGGTGCTCTATAAATCAATAAATGATGACTTAGAGGCTGTATTATGAGCTATTTTGGTTTTAGGTGCAGGTCTCAAGCAAGTTATGGGATGCTTCCTATGTAAACAGCATATTATGCCAAATGATACACACAGAAACCTTGATGGATTTCACAATCTTTATTTAAAGAAGAAATTTGAAAGCAATAGTTAACTTCCAGTCTGGTAAAATGCTCTTTAAATTTCCAGTATATGACCAAACATCATTTCATCAGAGTTTCTGTTCATGGTGACTTAGAAACTTAAAGTGAACATACGGCAGAACATCATTTGGGATCTGTCTTGCTTAAACTAGACTGGCTCTACCTTAGAGATCAGCTAATCTATGAGGAACCTAAACTCAAAAGTGAACTGGATGAGACCACCTATCCTCTAAGCAGATTGTCATCCCTACTGGATGTGACTTTAGTGGCAAAACAGATAAGACTGAACACTTTTCTTTCTCTTAAAGATTACAGTATTTAGCTTCTTGTCTTGAGCCCTCAGTTTATATGCATTTAGTGTTAGAACTGATAACTGACTTGAAGTATTGATGTTGATGCTCATAAATTCCTAGTGGCTGTTTGGCCTCTTTACAAACTGAAAAATGTGGAGCCAGATGCCATAGAGCTGAATTAGAAACAAGAAGAAAATTGTAACCCTGATAAGCATATTGGAGTGAAATTGCTATAGAAGGGTTTAGATGTTGCACACCTGTGAACTCATTATAGTTATTCATCACTAGGTACATAGGAAGTAGTTCTGTTTGCATGTTGCTTCAAATGCAAATGAACAGGTTATTCACTAGTATCATCTGTGTGCTAGGCACTAGGCTTCCAAGGAATTTTTTCTCCCTTGCTCTCAAGAAGATACAGGAGTAACACCTTACCCAATTTACATTTTATGGAAGCCTGCAGAACTCAAAACAGAATTTAGTTTGCAGAGAAAATTACTTTCTGGCTATGGTATTTTTGGGTGTTTGATTTCAGGTGTGCAGACTAGCTGCCAAGGTAGGATTAGACATTTTGGCTTGATGAATTAGTACCTCTACACTGACCTTTACTGACACGATCAGACTTTTGAATCCTGTCCACATATGAATCAAACAGCTTTCAACAGCCAGGCACATGTTGCACAGAAAGTCCTAGGCAAGAAAAATGACTCTTCTGAAGCAGTATGTATTAATTGTAAGGCTGAGGGTATTATCCAGTGTCAAAGGACTTGCTTAATGTCCAAAGCCCTGAGTTTAATTTCTAGCATCACAAACACACAAAGAGTTGGGGAGATGGCTCAGTTTGGTAAAGTGTTCACCATGCAAGCATGAGGACCAGAGTTCAGATTTCTAGCACAGCAGTCCCTAAAATTCCAGTGCCAGGGAGGTGGAGTCAGGAGGTCTCTCCTTGGTCTGTCAGTCCAGTCAAATAAGTCAGTGAAAGACTTAAAACATGTGAGCTGGGTATGTTGAGGTACACCTTTAATCCCAGTATTCTGAAGGCAAAGGCCTCCAGTTTGAGGCTAACCTGGTCTACAGCGAGAGTTCAAGGACAGGGATACTTGACCATCTCTCAACAAATAAGGTGAAGAGCAAATGAATAAAGTACCTTGAGCTCTGGTCTTTGCAAACAGATGCTACACCTTCACACAAGCCCTATAAAAGAAATAACAACACTTGAATGCTCACAGTACCTCATTCCTAACAACACCTTACCATGTTTCTGTTAATCAAGCTACTCCTTGATAGCAGATTTTGTTATTTGTGTATCTTGAAGGATCTGGTCAAATTCTTAAAAGGATCATCCAAGGTAATAGTATCTTAAGAAGAAACTAATTTGAGCCAGATGTGGTGGATACCTCTGATTCTACCACTTGGGAAGGCAGGAGGGTCAGGAGCTCTTAGCCAGTCTGGACTACATGAGAACTTTTGTCAGAAAAAGTGAAAAATGAAACAGACTCAGGTTAATTTATGAGGGTTGCAAAGTAAGGCAAAGAGAAAATATGCTGTAAAGAGATGTCCACTATGACGGCACTTTGCAACAACTTACGTCATTTTAGTGTTAGGAACTTGAGGTTTTTTTTTTTAGGGGACTCCATGTAGAGGAAGGAGTCTGTTTATGCCTGAGGCTGGCTCACCTAGCCACCTGAAGGTCTGACAAGCTCAAAATTTGGTACACCTATGAACTATCCTCAACAGAAGCTTTGAGTTCTGGCAGTTCTATTGAAATTGACAAATACCCACTGCACTGTGTTCTTTACCCACATTTCACTTACGAAGTGCCACTACTCAAATGTTGCTTTGCCCATGTTCTCTCCACTCCTGTAGTCTCCTGCTACACCTGGAACATAAATTTTTAGCACATAATTTTTCTTAATGTATTTCAGTGCCCTTCCATCTTCGGTTTTCTAGGTGTTTATAAATCAGGGTTGCCCCCCTTTCAAAATTTTAACCCTTGGCCCTACGTTTTTATTATTTAAATTCCAAATTTTTATGATTTAAATTCCAAATTCCTTCATCACTCCATTTCACTACCCATCTTAAAATGCTTCAATTTTGGCAGATCTTCCTAAAATCTGGCAGTTCTCTATAGCACACTTCCTTAACTGTTGATGCATTATTTTTATTTTCCTGAATTAAAGAAACTTTTTCGTTGAACCGAAGGCCTCATGTGTTCTAATACATGCTAGTTCAGCAAGCCAAGAAAAAAAAAATTTTTAAGCCGGGTGTAGTGGTGCTCCCCTTTAATCCCAGCCCTGGAGGCAGAGGCAGGTGGATGTTTATTAGTTCAAGGCCAGCCTGGTCTACATAGTGAGTTCCAGGACAATTAAAGTTATGTGAAGAGACCCTGTCTTAATTCGCCACCCCACCACACTGCCAAAAAAAAAAAAAAAAAAAAAAGTTGAGAGGATGTTATCTAGGTATATTTCCCCTCTATTTTGCTATTATCAAATCATATAATCATTCTCACATTCACCAAAAGTTTTACAATCTTCCTTCCCTCTGTTTAATCTCCCAATATCTAATTACCCTTGCTTCTCATTTCTACTCCATGGCCCTGTCCTGGGCGTTTTTTAATAAGCTCCTAATGTTATTTGGCTTTGCCACTTTGACCTCAGGGATCTCACAATTTTCCTTGCACGACGTTGTCTTTAATAATTATAGAGCCTTACAGTTACCGCAACCCCTACTCCAGTGTGCGTTTTATGATTGATGACCTGAGTTGTAGTCTGGTTTTGGCCATAAAATTCCCAAAGCCCAGGACGAATGCTGTCATTCAAGATTTCTGACAGCGTCTCATGGTTACAAAGTAACCATGCATCACAGTAGTCCACGTTCGCTGTTCCCTGACGATCGCCTGGAATATGGGAGATCAGTCAGTGCCTGGCAATTCCCCCAAATGTCTAGTGTGTAGAGGGGATTAGCTCCGTTTCCCGGGGGTATAGCTTCGCGCTCCACTTTCATTCACCTCTTGTGTGCTCAGGCTCCTCCCTTTGCCGCGCCTCCACCCAGGTCTCGCGAGACTTGTTCACTCCGTTCCGCAGGCACATCTCGCGAGGCTGCAGGCAGGGCAGGGCCCGACATGGCGGAAGGTAGGATTTTTTGTGGACCGGCGCGGGAAGGCACAGAGGTGTGAGGGCACCGTTGGCCTGGCACAGAAGCCCCGAGAGGGGTTGGTCGGGTGTGGTTGCACGGGGCACTGCGTGTCTCGCGGGCCTTCCTGTCTAGCGTCTCGGGGTTTCCCGGGCCGGGGGTTCCTCTGCGCCGTTCCTATGGCAACGCCCCTCCCGCGGTCTGGCCCCTCGGGACCTAGGTGGGCTGGGAACGCCAGGGGTGGTGATCAGGTGCTAGGAGCAGACGCAGCCGCGAAGCTCGGCAAGGCTGTCCGGGAGGCTCCTTGTAGTGCCAGCGATGCTGGAACGGCGAGGGAAGTATCCATCTCCTTAGGAAATCGAAACTGCTGTCATGGCAGGTCCTGCATCCGGAAGGGGTGCATCCCTTGCTTGCGGAAGAGCTTGAGACTCTTCCTTGCAGGAGGTCGGGAGGAATCGGGGCTGCAACTGGGCAACGGGTTTCTTGGGCCAGCGCTGTAGTCTCTGGGCTCTTTTACAGCCCCGGCATGCGGGCGCTCCGAGAGTCTCTGAGGTTTGCAATGGGGGCAAGAGGAGGGGTTTGCTTAGTAAGGGAGTTGACCAAGGCCACACTGCTGGTGAGAGGTGTACTAAAGCCACACCGGCGTTCCTTTACCTCTTGGTTCCTTACCCTCTTTTGTAGTGTACTCTCTACGACACTGCAGGTAAAGGCATCTGATTTCTCACGTTCAGCTTCCCTTAATGTAGGATCTCTGCTTGTCAAAACTTTACAAGTGGGGAAGAAAGGCCAGAGATGGTGAGTTACCTGCCAGGGATCATAGAGTGATATTGGACCTGGCCTGTGTGTTTCTCGTGTGTGCCCCATTGTTGGAGAAAAACACTTCTTGTTGGACATTATTGAGTGTTGAAGGGTGCTTGATCAAGACCTTCCCTGTTTTGGTTTGTTTGCTAAGCCTTGACGGAACCCATCATTTCTTGATCTGAGATTTGGGTAGCATGACAGTGTGTGTAGGCTTCTCTGATTTGGATCAGGTTTAAGAAGTAATAAGACTTTGAAGTAGGCCTGTCGGGGATGTTATTTACCCTTTAGAGCTAAGTGAATTGAGGCTAGAGTTATGGCTGGGAACTGGATCCAGTTTTCCTTTTTCCTTTTTAACACCATGTTAAACACCTTGGAAGTGGAACCTCAGGCGAATATTGTCCCAAAGCAGACGAGGAAGCAAAGGAACTTCTGAAAGGGCTGAGTGTGGTGGTGCGTGCTTGTAGTTCATTCAGAAGGTTGGAGGCAGAAGGATCAGGAATTTAAGGTCCTTCACAGCTGACCTGGGATACACAAAAGCCTATACAGAAAAGGAGCTAGATGATCTGCAAACTACAGAAATATTGTACACTGGAGGCAGCCAGTGAATTCTCAGCAGTGAGGTGTGGGAGGAAGGTTCAAGAAGACACTGAGATTGTGAGTATATAGTACTTTTAGGAAGGGAATTTGAATGTTGGGGAAATACATTACCAAGTTTCAGGTTGTAGGGAGTGTAGTTTTTCTTTTTTTTTTCATTCAGTGGTTTTATTGAGCACTTACTGTGTTTGTGCTCCCGGTCCAGTTGTGGGGAGTTCATATGGGCTGAGATCAGTCATTGATTGTTTACTTGTGATTGCCTTGAGGTTATTAGAAACATCTATCTAGCCAGTGGACTGTACACCTTAACCACAGACAAGACATCCAGGATTAAATTGGTTGGAGAGGTGAAGTGATGGGGGATGATAGGTAGATACTCTTAGGCTCTGACCTCATGGTTTGCCCCATTTACATTCCAGTTTCCTAAGTTCCTGTTAAGGCTGTTTGAAAATGATGTTGTAAAGTTCAGCTAGGAAAATTTGAGGAAAGCATTCTGGGTCAGTTAGCTCATTAAATGGAAGGCATTTCCTATGCAAGGAAAAACAAAGTCGTCTAAAGATATTTTGTGAGATGTTTCTTACATTGTTTGTATTTTTGTTCTGTTTGTTTTTGCTGCTGCTTGAACTTTAATCAGGATTGTCAGAACTGGCTGCTGTTCAGAGAGAGTTGTAAACACTAATAGTAGATTTTTGTGAGATGTCACAGTTCAGTTGTCAGCATACTCTGGAGACTTTCCTAGTAGTTGATCATTTGGTGGTGGTTTGTGTGTGGTTCATTAGTTCCCAGGAATAGTAAGCAGAATCTTAAGAAACCATATATACTTGCCGTACAGTAACTTATCTGCTTATATAGAAAACTTTTTTCCCTATGGCTGTTCACTTGACTAAATATAGATCCTTAACTCAGATCCATTCTAAAAGCAATTTTTTTTTTCTTTTTAATTTTTTGAGACTAAAGTTCTGGTTAGCCTGGAACTTGCTGGGTAAATCAGGCCGGCTTAGAACTCACAGAGATCTGCCTGCTTGTGTTTCCTGAATTCTGGGATTAATGAGAGGGGTGTGATGCCACACCCAGCCTCTAAAAGCGATTTCTGTTTCCATTTTGTACACCTTTGCAGCTGTTCTGGTCTGTGTTTTCTTCAGACTCAAATGAGCTACTTTAAAGGTGTTCATGTGATCTTCCTGCTGTTACTTTTTCTCTCCTTTAGTTTACTCACCCATAGCCTCTTTTCAGTTTCTTATGTTCTCTTTAAAACAAATCTGATTTATGCCAGACATGGTGGCTCCCACACTTGGGAGGCAGAAGCAGGAGAATCAACAGTTCAAGGCTATCCTTAGCTATATGGCAGGTTTAAGGCCAGCCAGGGTTACATGAGACATTGTCTCAAAAGAATATAAAAATCAGTGCCGGGGTAATGGCTCAGTGACTACAGACTTGCCACCAAGCCCCACTACCTGAATTTGTTATCTGTGACCAATGCAGTGAAAGTGAGAAATGACTCTCATTAGTTGTCACATTAGCCCCACTTCAAGTGCTAACAACCATATGACAGTCCCCCCTCCAAATAAATGATTAAATTAATAAAATGTTAAACACAAAATCAGATCTTAACTCTCCTTTCAAAAAATTTTATACTTTTAATTTTTGTGAATGGATGTTTTGCTTGCCTGTATGTTTTGTACACCACATGCATGCCTGATGGGGGAGGAGGCCAAAAGAGGGGATCAGATCCTCTGAACTGAACTTAAAATGGTTATGCACCTCTCTACAGGGGTTGGGAATTGAACCTAGGTCCTGGAAGAGCAACCCGTGCTCTTAATCACTGATCCATCCCTCCAGCCCTACCTTTCCTGTTCTTAACACCCTCCCCCTCCAACTCCTGTGGTATATTCCAAATAACCTTGAAGTCTCAAAAGAGATCTGGTCCTAGTTCACAGTGAAACTTGTTTCTGGCCTCTCGCTTACTGTGCCCCTGTCATAAGAACTGCTCTTGTACGTTCCCAACATGTTGTTACCTCCGTCTTTGTCTCTGCAAAGCCATTTCTCTGTATGGCTGGTGAGCTTTTCTTCCAATAGCTGTTCATTTGTCACCCAGAGGGTTTTCCTGAATGGAGATCCTGTGAAGCAGGAGCTTCGCTTGTTTCCTTCAGTGCTGTCTCTCAACCTAGAATCATGCTTGCTCTTGAAGGCCTGGCATTTTGATCATCCCTTAAGCTGCTTGGTGCCTGAGGGTAATCACTCCATGGTTAAGTATGTATTGCGTATGTTCTTGACATAGATGAAATACTTAGCACCCAAAAGTGCTGGTTTGTTTTTGTCAACGTTACACAAATTTACTTTAGACATATCTGGGGAGAGGGAATCTCATTTGAGTAATTGCCTCCATCATACTGACCCGTAGGCAAGTCTGTTGTGTATTTTTCTGATTAATGATTGATTTGGGAGGGGCCAGATCACTGTGGGCAGTGCCACCTCTGGGCAAATAGTCTTGGGTTGTATAAGTAAGCAGGCTGAGCAAGCCATGGGGAGCAAGCCAGTAAGTAGCGTTCCTGCATGTCTTTCTCCCTCCAGGGGCCTGCTTTGACTTTCTTCAATAAACTGTGATGGGGAATATGGAAGCCAAATAAATGCTTTGCTTTCCAAGTTGCTTTTGGTCACATTGTTTTTATCTCAGCAATTGAAAGCAAACTTAAGACATCGTGTAAACTGGTGGGTTTCTACTACATTACTCTGAAAAACATCAGTTTTCTAGGAGTGCCCTAACCAACACCTAGTACTTGGTTTTTAAGATAGTGCCTCCCTTTGCGCCTTGAATTCATGATCCTTTTGCCTTTCAGGTATGCAAACCATACCTGGCTTCCTTAAACTACTGTCTTAGTGGCTGTTCTTGCTGTGAAGAGATATCATGACCAAGGCATTTAGTTGGGGCTTGTAGCTGAAGTTTTTTCTAGTCCTGCCCAACCTGATGGACCCCGAAACTGCTTATAAAATAATCACTCAGAAGTTTATATTAATTAAAACTGCTTGGCCATTAGCTCAGGCCTACCACTGACTAGCTCTTACACTTAAACTCAGCCCATTTCTGTTAATCTATGTGTTGCCATGTGTTCCGAGGCTTTACCTGTGTGCCGTTACATGCTGCTCCCTGGAAGGTGGGCTGGCGTCTACTGACTCCGCCTTCCTCTCCTAGAATTCTCCTCTGCTTATCCTGCCTATATATACTTCCTGCCTGGCTACTGGTCCATCAACTTTTGTTTTTATCAACCAATCAGAGCATATCACATTCATAGCATAAAGAGCAACATCACCCATCAGGGGCTTGCTTACAGTTTCAGAGGCTTAGTCTATTACCATGGACTGCGTGGTGGTATGCAGACAGGTGCTGGTGTAGGAGCTGAGAATGCTACATCCTGATCTGCACACAGAGAGAGCTGTACCTGGTGTGGGTGTTTGAAACCTCAAAGCCCACCCTCAGCGACACTGTCTTTAACGAGGCCACACTTCCTAATCCTTGTAATACTTCCAAACAGTTCCATTCCCGGTGACTAAGCATTCAGATAACACAAGCCTGGGGGCCATCCTTACTCAGACCGCCACAGCTACTTTTTTTTTCTAGCACATTTAAGTCTTAGCAAATAAAGTGTAGTTCTTGAGCTGGAGATGTAGAGTGCTTGCCTTGGGTCCATTCCCAGCACAAAATTTTTTTGAGATTGTAATTACAACATTTACCCTTTCCTCCTTGTAAAGCCTCCCATATACCCCTTTCTACTCTCTCTCCAAATTCATGACTATTTTTTCATTAATTGATATTGTGTGCATATATGTACACACACACACACACACACACACACACACACACACACACACACACTCCTAAATATAGCCTGTTCAGTTTGTATAGTGTTGCTTGTATGTATGTTTTTTCTGGGCTGACTGTTTGGCACTAGATAATTGGTGTGTTCTTCCTTAGCGAAGACCCTCTCTCCCAGCTTTCCTCAGTTGCCTATAGTTCTTTGTGTAGGGTTGAGGCCTTGTAGGCTTTTCCCAGTTCACTTGGGCGTATCCGTTGATGTTTATCCTTGTTCAGCTCACATTTGGGCAGTCTGTTCATGAGACTTTGTGGGTGTAACTTCTGATAATTACTAGGAAACACAATCTCACAGCAAACTTACTGATCCTGTGGTTCTTAGAATTCTTTCTGCTCCCCTCTTCCAAAATGTTCTCTGAGTCTTAGATGCAGGAGTGTTTTGTAGATGTATTTATTAGGACTGGGCTCCACAACTCTGCATTTTGATTGCTTGTGATTTTCTGTAGTGGTCTCTGTTGCAAAGCGGTTTCCTTGATGGGGGTGGAGACTACACTTGTCTGTTGGTATAAGGACAAATGTTCATGCATTCTTAGGAATTGTGCTGGGTTAGTAACTTAATGATTGTTGATTCTCCTCCAATAACCATGCCCTAACTAGTACTGAGTGAGTAGTTAGCCAGGTTCCAGTACTAGGCATGGTTTACCTTATATCGAGTGAGTCTTAAATCCAATTAGAGAGCTGTTGGTTAATGCCACGGTATTCGTGCCACTGCTGCTCCCTTAAGGTTATCTTGCCATCTTGGTGGCTGATGTGATTCATAGATGTCATCATAGTGGGGAGAATTTTTTTATTCTTATGTCTGTAGTGTTTTGCCATCACGTACATATGTGTGTCATGTGCATGTCTGGTGCCTGAGGACGTTGGAAGAGGGCCTTGGATGCCCTGGAACTGCAGTTACAGATATTTGTGAGCAATCATGTAGGTGCTACAATTGAATCTGGGTTCTCTGTAAGACTGGCCAGTGTGGGGCTGGAGAGATGGCTCAACAGTTATGAGCACCGGTTGCTCTCCCAGAGGACCTGGGTTCAATTCCCAGCACCACTTGGCAGCTCACAACTGTCTATAACTCCAGTTCCAGGGCGTCTGACATCTTCACACCAATGCACATGAAGTAAAATTAAATAATGTGTGGGCTGGAGAGATGGCTCAGCAGTTAGGAACACTGACTGATCTTTCAGAAGACTTGGGTTCAATCCCTAGTACCCACATGGTATCTAACAGCTGTCTCTAACTCCAAGAACTGAACCCTCACACAGATGTACATGCAGGCTGTTGGTTATGAGGCGGTGCTCGTGACTGGCTGCTGCCATGCCGACGGAGGAGAGTGCTGGTTGGCGGAAGAATCACGAGCCATGGTTACCTTTCTAGAAATTTAATGAGAGAGAGAGAGAGAGAGAGAGAGAGAGAGAGAGAGAGAGAGAGAGAGAGAGAGACCGCGCAGGGCGGGGAGGACAGACAGAAGGAGAGAGAGTTTGGAAAGAGAGAGTGTACAGAGGACACGCCCACTTTTAGGCTGGTGATGTAATTAAGGACATAATTCTTACACAGACAAAATACCAATACAAATAAAATAAAAGTAAATAAATTATTTAAAAAAAAAAAACTGGTCTTTGCTCCAGACCCCACAAAATGAAATCAAAATATATGTAAGTGGCTTGTTACATAGTTGATTATAGACTTTTACTAATTTAGTGGAATTTGGTCAGGAAAATACTTGGGACAATTGAATAACAAGGTGAAGACATTTTTACACTGGCCATTCTCTGGTCAGAACAATAACTGCTAGCCACATATAACCCACTTGAACTTAAAATTAAATGCTATTAAACAGTTAGTTCCTGGTGACATTAATCATATTCTAAGTGCTCAGCCACAGTGTGGCTAATGGCTCCCTGGGATAGGCAGATCAGTAGAATATTGTACCGCACAGAAAGTTCTGTTGGAGAGCACTCTTCTAGAAAGTGTTTTGTTAGCATAGACTGGTAAAGCTGGGAGCAAAGAAACTCTAAGTTTGAAGTAAAGCTCTACTCATTCAACAAAGGTCCCAGGCCATTGATAATTAATTCACCTAGTCTGTTGATGTGTGGGCAGTCTTCCTTCCATACTCTCTCCTTATCTCTACTGTGACCCTGTCTCAAGAGAAAGAAAAGAAAAGAAAAGAAAGGGTGGCTGGGGAGTGGTGGCACACCTCTAGTTCTAGCACCCTCGAGGCAGAGGCCAGCCTGCTCTCTATAGAATCTCAGGGCAGGCAGAGTGATATGGTGATGTGGTGGAAGCCTATCTCAAGAAAAACTAAATTAAATAAATATTAATAAAGGTTTATTTTAAGGAAGAGTATATGAGTTTGTTTACTTACTTTAAGGATTTTCTTTAGTAAATGGAATTGTAAGGTGGTTTTATAAGGCGTATTTTTTGGGTTTAGGAATAAAAGCATTCATAGGGTTAAACCCAAGGTCACATTCTAGCTGTAAGTAAACAGAATATGATGTTTTTAGCATCCTTGTTGAAATATCTTGACAAGAAGTATCTGTAGGCCAAAAAAAAATTTTTTTTTGGTTTTGTTTTTTGAGACAGGGTTTCTCTGTGTAGCCCTAGCTGTCCTGGAACTCGCTCAACAGGCTGGGTTCAAACTCAGAGATCCGCCTGCCTCTGCCCCTGGAGTGCTGGAATTAAAGGTGTGCAGCACCACTGCCCAGCTTTAAAATTTGGTTATTGCTTGTGTGGAATGTAAACTAGATTCTAGTGTGATGGGCCTCTAAATTTTCTCTTTCTGCCCTGCTTCAGTACCTGCCCATTCTGTGTCGTGGAGTCTGTATTTCCTGTGCTGATGTCGAGTTCTCTTGCTCAGTATTTCCCTCTCCGAGGTGGAGAGTTGTACTTTCTTGGTTCTTTAGTCTTGAGTCACTAAGAGCTCTTCAGAGTCAGTGATCTAAGTCGAACCCAAGGTGCTTGGTGTAATTTTAAGTTCAACTCCTCTGTTGTTTTCAAAACCAGGTTAATTGTGAGTATTGTTTTCGTCTGTAGGCTGTGGTGGCACACACCTTTAATCCCAGCACTCAGGTTGATCTCTGAGTTGGAGGCCAGCTTGGTCTACAGATAAAGTTCCAGGACAGTTAAGGTTTCTCTACACAGAGAAACCCTGTCTCACCAAACAACAAACAAAATAAAACAAAAAGTATTGTTTTCCTTTAGCCAGCATTTTAAGAGGAATATTGTTTGGGAGGCTGGAAAGATGGCTCATCAGTTAAGAGCAAAATAAATACATGTTTTTTGTTTTGTTTTGTTTTTTAAAGAATGTTTGGTTTCAATATTTGTAAGACAAATAATTGCAGAATTAGAGAAAAAATGTTACTGTTGTCATCTTTTAAGTGCTTTTCAAGTTTATTTTCCTGGGAATATTGATTTCTACCTGAGGCTGGGTGGGCATCCAGTTCTTCACTTCAGGCATTTATTGAATGTCTAGAAGAGGAGAAAAAACATCCACATATATACATACATGTGTGTATATGTGTGACGATCATAGTACATTAACATTTAAAGATTTGTTTATTTATTTATTATGTATACAGAAGAGGGTGCCAGATCTCATTACAGATGGTTGTGAACCACCATGTGGGTGCTGGGAATTGAACTCAGGACCTCTGGAAGAGCTGTTGGTGCTCTTAACCTCTGAGCCATCTCTCCAGCCCTATATTAGTATTTAAACACATATCTTTTGAAAACCTTTTTCTGATTATGAAAGCAGGACATATTTATTATAAAATAACAATCAAAGTGCAAAGAGAAATCCTTTTCAGCAAGACTTGCTATTTGGTAGTACTTAATTTGCCTTTTATTTTGCACACATATGAATATGTACATTAAATTTGAATTGTAACACATATAGTTTTATATTCTGCACGCACACACGCACACACGCACACACGCACGCAAATGTCCAAGTCTGTGCCACATGAGCGAGTGGAGGTCAGAGGACAACCTAAGGGAATTGGTTCTTTCCTTCCACCATGTGAGTCCTGGGGATCAAACTCAAGTTGTCAAGCTCAGCAGCAAGCGCCTTTATCCGATGAGCCATCTCACTGGGTCTCTTCTTTTCAGTTGCGTTTTTTATTATTTATTTTGTACGTTCGTATGTACATGTGTAGGCACATGCATGTCACAATGTGTGTGATGGAGGTCAGAGGACAACTTACAGGAGTACGTTCTCTCCTTCTGTTAGGTCAGTCCTAGGAACTGAACTCAGGTCCTCAGGCTTGACAGTAAATACTTTTATATGCTGATCCATCTTGCCAGCCCACAAAGTCATATTTGATTCTCTCAGATTATACAGAAACAGTAGACCATATGGCTAGAGAGTGGTGAATGAATTTGCCTTGCAACTGCCATGTAGACATTCTTTGTTTGCCTTGCAGAGGAGGTGGCCAAGTTGGAGAAGCATTTGATGCTTCTTCGGCAAGAGTACGTCAAGCTGCAGAAGAAACTGGCAGAGACGGAGAAAAGATGCGAGCTTTTGGCTGCACAGGCAAACAAGGAGAGTAGCAGTGAGTCCTTCATCAGCCGCTTGCTGGCAATAGTGGCAGGTCTCTATGAGCAGGAGCAGTACAGGTAAGCTCCCGGAACCAGAACTGGACCTCTTGCTTCATCCCTAGCCACTTCACACTCGTTAGAGTGTCTTCTCATTCTCTCTTATTTTGTACTCCTCGGGGTTGAAACAGGGACTTCTCATATCTAGACAAGTGCTGAGCTGCATCCTCATCCTCAGCTCTTGTCACCTTGTTCTGAGACAGTCTCACTAGGTTGGCCAGGTTGCCATTGAACTTGTGATTCTCCTGTTTGAGCCTCTCAGGTAGATGGGATTATACCTATCTGCTCTACTAGGCCTGGCTTCTCTCTCATTTTCTTGTCACATTTATTTTTCTGTAATCCAAATTAACAGCACTGAGCCATGTGTGGAAGCTCAACTTGTAATCTCAGTACTAAGGAAACTGAGAGGAAGATTATCATGAGTCTGAGGCCAGCATCAGCTGTATAGTGAGGTCCAGTCCAGTGTGGGCTAGATTAGCCGGAGTCCTTATCTATAAAACAAAAGTAAGAGCTAGGCTGATGTTAGTAAGGTACATGAGGACCTGAATTTGATCCCAAGAACCCATGTGAAAAACTTTGGGCCTCATGGCAGGTACTTAAAGTCCCAGTACTAGGAGGACAGAGACTGGCAGTTTCTGGGGCTCCCTGTCCAGCAAGCCTAGCCTAAGTGGTTGTGTTTCAGGCCAGTGAGACCCAATAACAGGTAAATGGCGCCTGAGGAATGGCACCAAAGGTTTTCTTTCCCCTGGCTTCCACATGCACACTGTCTGTGTGCTCATCTGTGCCCTCCTACACTCAGACCAACACCAGACCAATGGAAAGATGAGCAGTGTGCCTTCGTTACTCAGAATGTCACTCTTTGTTAGAGACCTATATGCTACTTGCTAGCCCTTTGGCCTCAAGCTATGACATTAGGTTCCTGATCTGTAACAAAGGATGATATATTAGTACTACTCAATTTAGGGTTGGAGTAAAGATTAAGTCATAGGTGTTAAGACACTTAGAATAGTGGGCACATACCAAAGATTGATTATTAGCAGTAGTATTTATTTATTTATTTATTTTGTTTGTTTGTTTGTTTGAGATATGGTTTTACTGTAGAGCCCTGGCTGACTTGGAACCTGCTGTGTAGACCAGGCTGGCCTTGAACTCAGCAGTCCATCTCTTTCCTGAATATTGGAATTAAAGGCATGTGCTACTATGCCTAGCTATTTATTTATTTTTGCAACAAGGTGTTCTGTAGCCCAGGATGGCTTAGTACTTGGTTGTGGTCAAGGATAACCTTGAATTTTTGATCCTCTTCCCACTGCTTCTCCAATGCTACAGTTTTGCTAAGTGCCACACATTGGCACTTTTCTCTGTTGCCAGCATGGCTGGCCATATGGCCCAATCCTGTCGGCACAGAGGGTCATCATTGATGTTTCAGTTAATTGCCTAGAAGCCTTTTTTTTTTTTTAGCATTTGACATTTCAGAGTAAATGTACCTGTCTTTTTGGGGGGAATCTTTAAAAGTATAATAGTATGTAGGAAATATCCCTACCTCTCTTTCTTGTTTGCTTTTTTGAGACAGTGTCTTGCTATGTACCCCAGATTGATTTCAAACTTGTGATCCCAATATGCTGAGGTTATATGAAAGTGCCACTCAGCCCCAACCTCTTCTCTTGATAAATGGTTGGATATTAAATGATTAATGTTAGATATAAATGTTTCTAATGGAAACAGGAGTCCAGGTATTAGGTTTTGTGTTCTTTACTGCTTTGTGTGAACTTATGTGTTCATAGTCTCTCCATTTCACATTGCTTGACATTATTATGGAGCAAAGAAATAGCACAGTCTCAGAGTTTTGTGCTATCCACATTTCTCACTCTGGTGGTTTATTTCGATACATTCTGCATAAGACATCTTATATTTTATGTATGACTTAGTCATCCTACTTAGCTTGTAAGTTCACCACAAGAATCCTGTTAGATAGATGTATTTGAGACTAGATCATCCCATGGAAGTGAAGTAGAAGTTAAAATATTCCCAGCAACATGTAAGCATGGTCCACCGTGTGGAAATGCCATTGTGGTTTATTTTTTTTCTTTTGCAGATTCATGTTGATAATCATTATCCATGTATTTGTCAGGTAGAACTCCTAGCTTACCTAGTTTTGATGACATTTTTCTTTCTGTATCTCTGGATATTTTCTTCATCAGTGATTTGAAGATCAAGGTTGGGGGCAGGCACATCAGTGCTCACAAGTTTGTCCTGGCAGCTCGCAGTGATAGCTGGAGTCTGGCCAACTTGTCTTCCACAGAGGAGCTAGACTTGTCAGGTGAGTCTGACTTGATCAGAACACAGAACTAATGCACAAGACCTCTTGGCAGAAAGTTATAATGCATCACTGTAAAATATATATGGTATGATAAAAGTAAAATACTTATCAATTGATGGGAACATGAACCATTGAAATAAGATGTCACCCTAAGTTGGTTGTTCCATTTTCCTTTAAATTTTTTTTTTAAATTTTAATTTATGTGTGTGGGTGTTTTGCATGCATTTCTGTCTTTGCACCATATGCATGCAGTGCCCAGGGAGGTCTGAAAAGGATGTCAAATACCTTGGAACTGGAGTTACAGATGGTGGTGGTGCATCATGTGGGTGCTGGTAATTGAATCCAGGTCCTCTGGAAGAGCTGACAGTGCTCTTAACCATTGAGCTATCTCTCCAGCCTCAGGTTGTTCTTTATGATTATATTTAATCCTTGGTTAACAAATTAACTATTTTAGTATCTATTATGTTCTTATATTTAGAAAGTACAAGAATCTTTCAATAAGCTTATTTCTATAAAAAAATTATTACTGTATGTATGCTTAGCTTGAGAGATCAGAGAACTTTGTGGAGTTCTGGGGATTGAACTCTGGTTGATAGGTTTGTATGGCAAATGTCTTTGTCTGCTGAGTCATCGCTCCAGGCCTGCTTATTTTAGCTTTTGCATATAGTATATGTACATGTCCTTGTAGGTGTGTGTGCTGTGTGTGGAATCCAGAGGCTGATGCCAGGTAACTCAGTCATTCTTCCTATTGATTGACTGACTGAAGACAAGGACTCATCATGTAGCCCTAGCTGGCCTGTAACTCAAGATGTAGACCAGGCTGGCCTTGAACTCAGATATGCCTGCCTCTGCTTCTAAAAGCTAGAATTAAAGGGGTATGGCCACCTTTAGTATCTTTTCCTGAAAATATTTTGCATGTATTTAGTGTGTGTGTGTGTGTGTGTGTGTGTGTGTGTGTGTGTGTGTGTGTGTATGGATATATGTATGGGTATGTACATGAGACCACAAGTGCCCTTGGAGCCATTAGAGTTCCCTGGAGCTGGAGTAATGGGATTGTTAGTGACTTGATATGGTTTCTGGAAACCTAACTTGGGCCCTTTGCAGTAATAATATGTGCTCTTAACACTGATATATCTCTCCAGCTCTATAGCTCTATTTATTTTTAGTATGTCTGTGTGTTGGTGTGTGTCTATATGCATGGTACCTGAAAAGGCAGACCTCCCTGAAGTTGGAATTACCATGTGGTTGTGAGTCTCTCAATGTGAGTTCTGAGAACTAAACTCGGGTGGTCTACGAGAGCAGTATATGCTCTTAACTGCTGAGCCCCACTGTACAGTGATATTTGTGTGTGCATCTCTATTTGTTTGTTTGTTTGTTTGAGATAGCATCTACTGTGTGGATTAGGCTAACCTGGAACTCACAGAGGTCTACCTGCTCTGCCTCCCAAGGGCTACGATTAAAGGCATGAGCCATCATGCCAAACTATATGTGTATCTCCTAATAACATGTTAAATACTTAAACATATGTAGTAAATTTCTTTCAAAACAAAACAATTTTAATAGGACTGTGGAGATGGCTCATTGAGTAAAGGCATTTGCCACCAAGCCTGATGACCTGAATATGATCCCCAGAATTCACATGTTAGAAGGAAAAAAAAAAAAAAAAAAAAACTCACCTCCTCAAGTTGTCCTCTAATCTGTACATAGGCATCATGATATATATGCTCATTACACACACACACACACACACACACACACACACACACACACACACACGTAAATGTAATTTTAAAAAAGGTTTTTAGTAGATACACTAAATTACTTATATTATTGTCTTATGTATATTTGTAGCTTATGACTAAATGGAAGTTTTCAAAAGTTCACCTAAAATTGTATTGTGTTAGTATTTGCTTAACTACTCTTGAAAACAAGGCATGAAGCAAAGTTTTCATTGAACTCTGCTCTTAGTGACTATTGCAAAAAGTATAACGTGGAGACTGTCAGGATATTAAAATAGGACATTGGACTGGGAGTATAGCTCAGTGGTAGAGTGCTTGCTTAGCATGTATCAATCCCCGGGTTTGATGCCAAAGACTGGGAGAGAGAATGGGGGTGGAGAGTAATTTTCAGAAGTGATTGACTATGAAAGCTCCACTGAGATGTCTGTTCAGAGACTCTCCTGTTGAGAAGGTCTGTTTCTGTGTGCTGAGGACTGAGGGATTATGATGGGTCTCTGCCTCAGAGCTCATGCTCTGGGAGAAGTAATGGACTGTTACTAAATCAGTTCAAACCCGAGCCCTGAATGTAACAAAGTAGCAGCTCTATGTGCTGCTGCAGAAGAGATTTGAATGGGGCTGCAAGGAACATGCCAGGGGTGGCTAACACTTGAGCAGTATTGTTTGTACCGGAAGGATAGGTGTGGGTGTTGATCGATCGCCTGGATTTGGGAGAACAGACCTTTCATGTTTTTCTGTTGTGAGTGAACTCTCTCTCTGATAATTCCAAAGGTTTAACTTGAAGCCGGCACTTCTCCTTGTAAGCACAAATAAACATACATAAAAGCAGGTTCGTGTGCACGGGTCATTCCTACCTAGGATGAAAATACCTGTACGGAAGGTCTTTACCAGAAAGGCTCCAGTCCATGAGTGCACTCAGAGCTGTGGCTTTTCTTTTTAAAAATGTATCTTTTGAAGCCACATATCTCTGACCACCTATAAAATTAGGATAGTTTCTGAGAACCATTTGGTTATGAAATGTTCTTCACAAAATGTATGGTAGTATCTTGACTCCACAGTCACATATTTTACAAGGCTAGAAAAGATAATAAAAACGAGAATTATTCAAATTCGTTAGATGTTAAGAGTAGGCTGCCATTTTTTTTGATACTTCCATTATAAAAAATTGGTGATTCCAGCAGTTGTGAGACTTACGAAATGTACTTTGTTGTACTGTCAGTGACATTTTGGTCAGGGCTACATGAGACCCTGTTGTTTTATGGCTCAGTGTATATCTGTCTCAGTGAATATACTGTGTGCACATGGAAAGAGAATGTACTGCAGTTGCTGGATATAGTGCTTTGCTTATTTACAGTATTGGGGTTTGAACTCAGGACCTCTTACATGCTAGGCAAGTACTCCACTACCACTCCACATACACTTCCACCCTACTTATTTTTTATTATGAGGTAGACTCTTGCCATGTTACCCAGGCTGGCTTGGAGCTCACTATATAGTTCAGGCTGATCTTCTACTTGCCATCCTCCTACCTATATTTTGAGTATATATTATATGATTCAGCACTGTTCCAAGTGCTGAGATTACCTATGTTCACCAAGCCTGGGTGGATGGAGTCTTCTTTAAATACTATTATGTCAAGGAGACTGTTCAGTGTTTCTGTATTATGTATGTATGTATGTATGTATGTGTATATATATATATATATATATATATATATATATATATATATTCCTTTATGTCTAGTTTATCAATTCTTTAAAATTCAGTGTTATTATTCATTGCAATCTTGAGATAGAAATTTTAGCTGGATAGGGAGAAAATGGGTGCTAGGGAAGTTCCCAGGAATCCCCAAGGATGACCCCAGTTTAGACTACCAGCAGTAGTGGAGAGGGTACCTGAACTGTCTTACCCCAGTAATCAGATTGGTGAATACTCTGTCATCATAGAGCCTTCGTCCAGTAACTGATGGAAGCAGATGCAGAGATCCAGGAGTCTAGTCAAAGAGAAAGAAGAGAGATTCTATGACAAGGGGTATCAAGATCATTATGGGGAACAACAACCAAACCAAACTAGTAGGCAGTCATGAAATTTAGATCAAGAGCTATGGAGCCTCCATGGGACTGGACTAGGCCCTCTGCATAAGTGAGACAGTTGTGTAGCTTGATCTGCTTAAGGGGCCAAGAGGGCAGTAGGATCAGGATCCATCCTGGGTGGCATGCTGACTTTTTGGAGCCCACTACCTATGTTGGGACACCTCACACAGCCTTGAGGCAAGGGGAGAGGCTTGGACCTGCCTCTACTGAATGTGCCAGGCTCTGCTGACTCTCCATGGGAGGCCTTACCTTCTTGTAGGAGGGAATGGGGGATGTGTATAGTGGGCGGGGGGGAATGCAGAGGGGAGAGGAGGGAAGAGGAGGAATCTGTGATTGGTATGTAAAATGAATAAAAAAAATTCTTTTTTTTTTAAACATGAAAACAGGTTATAATTCAAAAGTCCAGGGTTATTTGAAACTGGAAAATATTTTCTCTGTAGAAAATAGTTAAAATGATAACATTTCCCAATAAGCCCTTTTAAGCCAAATAATAGCTGAATTATACATATAAATATTGATTAGATTCTGGGATACAGAAGAAACCAGTCTTCATCTGTTCAGAGAGCTATGTTTTACTTAAGTTGTGTAAGTGAGATTCTTGTTCAAATTCCCCTTCACTGTTTGATTTACAGTGGACATTTTTCTATAGGCTAATCTATAATCTAAAAAGATTTTAGCCTTCCCTCCTGAAAGTACAGCCAGCATATTCTTTCATCAGCTTGATACGGTACAAATTCTTATCCTGATAGTGAAATGTTTCACTAAATCTTGCCCAGTGATTGGGCAAAACCAAAACTTATTATAAGCCACAGTCATCCTAGGGTGCCCCCTGCTATATAGCCTCCCTGGATTTGTGGGCTGTAGTCTGATTGTCCTTTGCTTTATCTCTAGTATCCACTTATGAGTGAGTACATACCATGTTTGTCTTTCTGAGTCTGGGTTACCTCACTCAGGATATTTTCTAGTTCCATCCATTTGCCTGCAAATTTCATGATGTCATTGTTTTTCTCTGCTGAGTAGTACTCCATTGTGTATTTAAAATGAATGAAAAAATTCTTAATAATTAAAAAAAGAAAAAAAAGGTGTATTCACAAGCTTTAAATTTTTTTTTTTTTTTTTAAGCTGGACTGGTGGCATATTCATGTAATCCCAGGATTTAGGAGACTGAGGTAGGAGGGTTAGGAGCTCCAGGCCATCCCGGATTACCTTGTCATGACCTTGTCTCAGAAAATCAAAAACAAAGCAAAATGAAAAATTTCCACCATTACTATGTTACTGAGGAAGAGCAAGAAAAAAAGAAAAAGCCACTGTTTGTTTTTGCCCCACCCTTGTTTGTCTGGTTGTTTTAGTAGACAACAGTGAATCCATCTGCTTTGCTTCCATCAGGTTTTCAGTTCCACTCAACATCACTTCCTTCAAACCCATCCTCCTCACTGTGGGTAGTTGGAATAGAGGGTTAATCAGAGCTAATCTGTTGCCTAGTTATTAATAATGTAGTACTGGTCCTTACTGTACTTTTCCTTGATAATTAAGAATTGAATATAGTCTCCTAACCTTAGTGAGCATCACAATAACATTATGGAATTGTTAAGGTGCAGATGCTGGGTCCATCCCCAGTTCTCTTCAGTAGGTCTGGGTGGGCTTGAGAGTTAAACTCTATTAGGAGTCTGCTTGCTCAGGATTACTCTTAGAGAACTGTTAAAAAACTGTGGCTTTAACTTTTCCTCTGGACATTACTTTCTGTATTCTGATTAATCGAAAGCTGCTTTAATCGGAATAATAGTTTAGATTTGTTTGTTTGCTAGTTTGTGTTTTGAGACAGGATCTCAAGTAGTCCAGCTTGGCCTGGAATTCACAGTATGAAGTCAAAGATGACCTTGAACTTTGGACCTTCTGCTTCCCAATTGCTGGTATTAAAGATATATGCCACCACACCTGGTTTATGTCATCTGGGAATTATCTCAAGGCTTCTTGCAAATTAGACAATCAATAGTAATTGGGCCTAATCCTCAGCATTAGTTTAGATATTTTATTTATTTATTTTGGTTTTTCAAGACAGGGTTTCTCTGTGTAGCACTGTCTGTCCTGTAACTCACTTTGTAGACTGGCCTTGAACTCACAGAGATCAGCTTGCCTCTGCCTCCTGAATGGTGGGATTAAAGGCATGTACCATCACTGCCCACACCCGGCCAGTTCAGATATTTTAAATGATGATTTTTATAGTAAACATTTCCTTCAAGTAGTTGTATAGTCTTTAAAAAATATATAAATAATATATTTATTAACTAAAAATCAAGGTACCGATTAGCTAAAAGAAAAAATTAATCATGAATAAGTTCTTGAGTTGATATTTTAGTATATATCTTTTCAGGTTCTCGATTAATTGTTAGATGGTGGACAGACAGAGCTGTCTATTTAGATATATATGCATATACACAATGGTACATTTATACTCTTAAACATATAGCAAAAATGAGATTATATTAAATGTATTCTTAGTTTTTTAAACCTCTGTAAATATATTGTCATGAAATATATCTATTAGTCTCAATTGCTGCAGATTTGCCATTGTGTATGTATATATATATTATATATATACATAAACATAAACATAATATACATTATGTTTTTATTAACTTTCTGTTATACTCTTAAGATTTTGTAAGCAAAATGTGGTGGCTCATACCTTTAGTACCACAATTTTGGGAGGCTAAGGCAAGAGTATTGCTGTTAGTTCTGGGCCAGCCTGGGCTGTAAGAGTGAGAGATCTTATTTCAAAATAAACCAACATTTTATCTCAGATCTTCATTATTAAAATAGCACATTTCTCTGTATTTACCCTATTGTTTGTTTAAGAGTAATTGCTGTGTAAAAGTTGATTCAGTCTTTAAAAATCTTGGCTGCAGACTGGAGAGATGGCTCAGTGGCGCTCTGGCTGCTTTTCCGGAGAATCTGGCTTTTATTCCCAGTACCCATACGGTGGGATGCAACAACCATCTGTCACTCCACTTCAAAGGATTCAATACCCTCTTCTGGTCTCCGTGGGCACCAGGAACACAATTGGTGCATAGCCATACATGTAGGCAAAACATCCATGCATAAAATAAAGCCTTTCTAATCCCCAGTACTCCAAATAAATGACTAAAAATAAATTAATAAAACCTTGACTAGTCTGTATTAGAAATTCTGTTGAGTGTGGTGGTGCATGCCTTTAATGAGGTAGAGACAGGCAGAACTCTGTGAGGGCCACGTAGAGAGACCCTGTTTCAAAAGGAAAAAAAATAAAAGAATGAAAGATATTCTGAAATTATCTTATGTCTCAATATTTTCCAAATGAATTTGACCCTATGGTTTCCTCATACAAAACTGTAACTTTTTTTTGAGTCAGATGCTGCCCAGACATTCTGTCACCATTTTTAATGGCTGTATTGTTAGAAGTATCCACCAGAGAAGACCACTTGGACACGGGTTTAAGCAAATAGAAAGTCTTTTATTAGCTGTCCTGCAGCTACACTGGGTGTTGGGGACCCAAGTGCTGTTCTAAGCCTTTCTCAAGGTGGGATTTTAAACACAAGAAAACATATACTGGGATGACACACCTCAGTCAGAAGCAGAATTACAGAAGCCAAAAAGCAAGATTAATTAATTTAGGGACTTTACCAGAACTATAGAACTTTGTTCCCTTTTTGCAGGTGTTGGCTGCCTATGTGCTAGGTTCCAAGGCCTGAATGATAGTTCCATCATGGTGTCAATTGTGCTAAGGTCTGGGGACATATTGAGGGTGGGGGCCTGTAGCAGTATATTTGAGTTAGGTGGACTGTAATTGACTTTTCTAACCACAGGTTTTAGCATTGCTTCTAGAAGGCCTAAGTGTGTCATCTACTTTCTTTTTCTCACTAGATGCGAATCCTGAGGTGACAATGACCATGCTTCGCTGGATCTATACCGATGAGTTAGAGTTCAGAGAGGATGATGTGTTCCTGACTGAGTTGATGAAACTGGCTAATCGCTTTCAACTCCAGCTCCTTAGGGAGAGGCAAGTCACAGCAGACCTGCTCAAGCCCCTGCAAGGTGGCGGCGGCTAAGCTTAATTGTGCCAGGCTGTGCGAACAGCTTCTGACATGTGAAGAACTGTAGGGTTCTCTAAAGGTGATGGGGCAGAGGCTGACTTCTCTCTTGCTCTCTGTTACTGGGAAGCTAATGGTGCTGGTGCTAGTTTGTTGTTCTTTCTTCTCCTGGTTTGTTACCTGGGGTTCTGTGTAAACTGACAACTGAATATGGAAAAATAGAATCCAGGGTCCAGAGTCTTGACTTGGCCTTCCATTCTGTTTTCTTCAACAGTTGATTCTGCCTTTGGGTAGATCTAGCAAAGGAAGTCTTTGGTTATATACTCCTTTTTGGAAGCACTCTAATGCTTACATTAATCCAGAGTTTATGGTTCAGTAGGTTTTGTAGCCAGTATCGATAAGGGCTTATTTCATTGAAGTTAACTGCTTTTTAGGTCTCAAGGAGCTGGCACAATACATTTTTATAGTGCGTTTTCTCTATTCCTCTCCCAAGTCGGTAGAATTATGGGAGACAAAATGCTCATCAGAGGTGTCAGGCAAAATGCCTGTGCACTTGTTGCAGCTGTGGCTGCTGATGGCCAGCTTGGTTTTTTTTTTTTTTTAAGATAGTTGCTTTTTTTTTTTTTTTTTTTTTTTAAAGATTTATTTATTTATTAGGTATGCAGTGTCCTGTCTGCATGCATGTGTGCAGGTCAGAAGAGGGCACCAGATCTCATTACAGATGGTTGTGAGCCACCATGTGGTCACTGGGAATTGAACTTAGGACCCTGGAAGAATAGTCAGTGCACTTAGCCTCTGAGCCATCTCTCCAGCCCAGTGTAGTCTTTTATAGTACTTCATAATCTCTTTTTATTCTTATGGGTGCATGAGAAAAAACTGGCTTCTCTCTTGGGTGATTGAAGGGCTAGTTTCAGCCATCAAGATGGTCTGTTTGTTGCTCTGTTGCCCTCACCCAGGAGATCCAAGAGACTCGGCTACTAGGAGCTACTTGCTCTGTTTTCCTCTAGGATGGCCCCACAGCCCCACAGGAATCCATAGACTGAATCTTCAGTCTGTCAGTGATGTGGGCCTGAGAACTGTTTTAGTATCAAATCTAATTTAAACATAAACAAGTCCAAGGTGTATAGAGCTAGATTATTATTAATACAACTAACTTTAATATTGAGGCCCTCTAATTAACTATTGTGTTTGTTTAGTAAGTTTTTGAACTACCTAGGAGTAAACTCATACTCATTTAAATTAGATTGTTTATATCTTTCCCCCAGATATCCTAGCTTTCTCATTGACCATATCAGACTTGCTTATAAATTAAATTGCTTTAATAAAAATGTTCTGGGGTTTGTATGGATTATTTAATTGGTATAATGGATTCTTTAATTAAAATGTTTATTGTTTATTGATTGATTAGGCCTCATTACGATCAACATTACCAGATGCTCAAATCTGTACTGTTGCATGTGGCTATTAAGTTGTCTGTCACAGCTTTGTTAAGAGCTGGGATGGGAGACCAGGACTAGAGTGAGTGCTGGCTCTTCAGGAAGTCACAAGAGTGCCCCCTGCTGTCAGGCAGAGAAATGGCACATCTAAGATGATAACCCAAGAGGCAAATGCAGACAGTTCAGTGTGAAGTCAGTGGCACCAATTTCTGTGATAGAGAGGTCCTGATGGTTTAGAAATGTTAATAATTAAATTGATGAAAAAGTAGATGTCTTAGTTATGGTTTCTATTGCTGTGAAGAGACATCATGACCACAGACCAAAGGAAAACATGTAACTGAGGTGGTAGCTTACAGTTCAGAGATTTAGTCCTTTATCATCATAGCAGGGAGCATGGCGGCATGCAGGCACACACGGTGCTGGAGTAGTAGCTGAGAGTTCTACATCTTGCAACCACCAGGAAGTAAGCTATGACACTGAGAGAAGCTTAAGCAAAGACCACCCCCCCAATGACACACTTCCTTCAACAAGGCCACACCTCCTAATAGTGCCACTTGCTATGAGCTTATGGGGCCCAATTACATTCAGATTACCACAGAAGGTTTTTATTTTTAATAATATCAGAAAATCTTTTACAAAAGAGTATTATGAAAATGAAAATATTTCTTCTGATTATAAATACACGTTCAGTGTATGTAATTTGGTTTGTTTGTTTGTTTGGTTTTTTGAGACAGGGTTTCTCTGTGTAGCTTTGCACCTTTCCTGGAACTCACTCTGTAGCCCAGGCTGGCCTCAAACTCACAGAGATCCACCTGCCTCTGCCTTCCGAGTGCTAGGATTAAAGGCATGCGTCCCCACCACCCAGCTGAAACTTTTTCTTACTGTAACATGTCTACATATTGATTTTAACTTCTTTTAAAAATGGTGTTGGAGGGTTGGTGAGATTGCTTCGCAGGTAAAAGTCCTTACTATACAAACCTGATGACCTGAGTTTGATGCCCAAAACTCACTTTGGAAGGAAAGAACTGACTTGAAATTGTCCTCTGGCCTTTACACCTTTGTGGGTTGTGGTACACACACACACACACACACACACACACACACACACACACACACACACACACACACAAATAATGAATGAATAAATGAAAAAATTGGTGGGGAAGGGGGGTGGAGACAAGGTCTAGCCTTTGCTTCTCAGGTGCTGGGATTAAAGGCATATGCTACCACAACCAGCCCTAAATTAACTTTTAAAGCGCCCTGGGAGAGGTGCTCTTTGCACCGAGTCTGCAGTGTTGATGGAAAATGGCTGTGTTCTTGTTTTTGGCCTAGTCTAACTATAAGGTTTGAAAATTTGCTCTTTGTGTTCCCATGTCTGTCCTGCTTCCCCTATCTCCACTCCACGGTCTGTCTCACTGCCTTCCTCCCCTCTTTCCCTGCCCCTCTAACTCTTGAGGTCCTCCCCTGTTACCTAGTAGCTCATCTACTGAGATTGAGAATTACCTGCTTTACCTGCTACTCAATTATTAACAGCAGTATTGAAGTCCACTAACATTAGCTGTTAAGGTTTGCTACGTCCCTTTTCCATTTTCCTTCAGGGCAGGAATGTTGGGCCTTAGAAGGGAGTGGTGAGCAGAGAGGAAATGTAAACTTAGGAGTGTACCTCCAAGTGTCTCTTGTGCTCTACTGAGTACATCTAACTTTCCTTCATCTTGAAACCCACAGAGTCTCAACACCTCTAAGATCAAATACCATCCTTATGTCATAGAAGGGGAGACAGGGCTACAGAGACTTCATTTTTCTCTCACTACTAAATTCTGCTATGTGATTAGAAAAGTTTTTGTTAGCTGGGTGGTGATGGTGCACACCTTTAATCCTAGCAGAGGCAGAGGCAGGTAGATCTCTTTGAGTTCGAGGCCAGCCTGGTCTATAGAGTGAGTTCTAGGACAGATAGGACTTTTTCACAGAGAAACCCTGTCTCAGAAAAAAAAAGAGGTTTTTGTTGAGGGTGAAGGAAAGGAGAAGCAGTGGTAGATTAGATGAGGGGCTGTGACTACCATTGGGCCTCTGTGGCTACCCGTGGAGGGGAATCTGATTGAAGGACCATGTCTTAGCCTTCTTTCTCCGTAGGCCTCATTCTGCGAGAGGCACAATAAGGTTTCCAGAAATTCTGTCGTAGAATAAATTCTGTATCTTCTATGCTAGGATGTGAAGACAACGTTGTGCCACAGGATTGTAGTTGATACTCTCTTGTTAGTCCTTCCTTCATCAAGTCTTGTTGCCTGGCTTTGTGGAGATACACATTGTGCCCAATTTTCTCTTGACATACTGTGGTCTGATTTGTGTGTGGCACTCGAGATTGAATCCATAGCCTCTTGCACTCTAGGTCTGACTCATAATTATTTCACTATCTTACCTATTTTGGGTGGTTCTTTAAAATGTAATTTATTGAATTATATTTATTTTATATGTAAAACTTTTATTTGTGTGTGTGTGTGTGTGTGTGTGTGTGTGTGTGTGTGTGTGTGTGTGTGTATGTATTGGCAGGTATCTGGGGAAACCAGAACAGAGCACCAGATCCCGTGGAACTGGAGTCACAGGCAGGCATTTGTGAACATGTATTGGGAACCAAACTTAGGTCCTTTGGAAGAACAACTGTTCTTAGCTGCTGAACTATTCAGTCCACATACATCCCCCCTACTCTTACGCCACCCACACCCCAATGTTGCTAGGGATTGAACACAGGGCTTCCCAAATACAAATACATCCTAGACACTCTACCACTGTCTTACTTTCCAGACCCTGAATTACAGTTTATTCACTTATTTTAATCATCATCATCATTATTATTATATATGTATAAGTGTTTTGATTGCATATATGTCTGTGTACCACGTAAATTCGGTACCCATGAAGGTCAGAAGAGGGCATTGGATCCCTTAGAACTGGATTTACAGGTGATTGTCAGCTGGCATGTGGGTGCTGGGAACTGAACCTGGGTCCCTGGAAGAGCAGCCAGTACTCTTACCCTCTGAGCCATCTCTCCAGCCATCTGAATTATAATTTATACAAAATAAAAATTTATCTTTTGGGAGGATTTTTAAAGAGGTATTTATTAAGCATAGACCCTCATATTTGAAATTTTGAACAATAAAGTTAGTATAATAGAATTGTCTGCAATCTGCAGGCATGTTCCATATAATTCAGTGCCAAAGAACTGAAGCCAATCTGTTTTGTGTTTGATTGCAAAATGGCCTATGCATGTGATTCAGAAGTTTCAAGTGATTACTTTTGAGGCTATTGAGGTTTTAAGCTTCATGATTTTCTTTTTGCAGGTTATTTTGATTCTACTTAGAACAGTGAGGTGTAATATACTGTCTAGTACAAGACTGCAAAGCACAGTGTAATCCCAGGCTGAGACAAGAGTAGTCTGACTTCAAAGCTAGCTTGGGCTACATAGTGAGACATCCTGTCTCAAAAAATAAAATGTATATGATCAGTTTTAGTAAAATTATAATACAAATTCAGTTCAGACCGGGCGGTGGTGGCACACGCCTTTAATCCCAGCACTCGGGAGGCAGAGGCAGGTGGATCTCTGTGAGTTTGAGGCCAGCCTGGTCTACAGAGTGAGTTCCAGGAAAGGCACAAAGCTACACAGAGACACCCTGTCTCGAAAAACCAAAACAAAAAAATTGAGTTCAATAAGTAAAAATCTATACATACTTCCTTATGAAACAGTGTTCAGTCTTATACCTTAGTTTTACTAGACATAACTGGTGCCTTAATTATTTTTTGGTTTATTTATTTATGAATGTATTTCCCTTACTAATACTGTTCATCATTAATGAAAAATCTCTTACAGATGTGAGAAGGGTGTTATGTCTCTGGTGAATGTTAGGAACTGCATTCGCTTCTATCAAACTGCCGAGGAATTAAATGCCAGCACACTGATGAACTACTGTGCAGAAATTATTGCAAGTCACTGGGTGAGTGAGAGATTGGGAGGTATGGACAGAGCTTTCACACTGGCAGCCTGCGATCCCAGGGTGAGCCCTGCTTTCTGCAGTCGCCTCTCTAACACGTCATCATTGCTGTTGGCAGTCCTGAAGAATAAGCAGTTGGATTAGATGGCCTGTGAGGCTTTTTTCTGTTCTGAAACTGTTCTGAGGGTTTAGAGTGGACCCAGCAGAGGTAGCTGAGGTTCCGGAGCAGAGGTCAAGAAGGAACACCTGCCTTTAGCATCATCCTTGAGAAGCTGAGACCCAGCGTGCGCTGCCCATGGAAGAGCTTCCTCCACTATAAGAGGCATTTTTAAGTTCATTGTCTTGGGTTTTTGTTATAAATAGCTGGCTTCACATTTCTGGTTATGGTTTGATTTTGTATTTTTTATGTGTATGCAGGTACACATACGTGCTTGCAGAGGCCAGAGGACAGCCTCTGGTAGAATTACTCAGGTAGTATCCACCATATTTTGAGACAGGGTCCCTCACTGGCCTAGAGCTCACGGATTAGGTGAGTTCAGCTAGCCAGTGAGCCCCAGGAGTCCTCCCGTCTCCTCCCAAGCACAGGGTTTATAAGCTGAGCTTTTTTTTTCCCCCACCCCATTAAATAATAAAACAACAACCAGTGTTGTTTTATGAACTAGCTTCTGTGATTGTTTTGTATACAACATTATGGGAAGAACCTTGGAATTCTGCAGAAAGATTTCTAACAGAACTGGTATGTGTGTGCGCTTAGTGCCATGGACCTATAGCTCTTGGGAAGCTAAGGCAGGAGGATGCAGAGCAAGTTCAAGACCAGCCTGAGGAACTTAGCAAGACCCTTTCTCACAAACATTTTGAAGTGCTGGGAATATAGTTCAGTGATACAGTGCTTACACATGGCAGCTGACAATCACTGTACAGTGGTACACATGCCTGAAACCCTGGATTTGATCCCCAATAATACTAGAAAAGTGGGGTTATTGTTTTTTGCTTTGAGATAAGATCTCATTCTGTAGCTCAGGCTGATCTGGAACCCACTGTGTGTAATTCAGACTGGCCTCAAACTTATGGCAAACCTCCTGCCTCAGCCTCTTGAGTGTTGGGATTAAAGGCATGTGTTGCTATACCTGCTGAAAACTAGCTTTAAAGAACTGACAGAATGGTAACCTTCCCTTGCTGATAGGGCTACAGCTGTGGCTCAGTGAGTTGTTTGTTGCAGTTCTGATTTATTTTGAAATCACCGTCTTCATAGACTTAGTAGGAAAAGGACTCTAAGCTCATGGTAGGGCTCCTACATGGCTTGTTCCTGTTGAAGGTCAGCATTGATATTCGGCTGTCCAGTCTCTGAGGCCCAGCAGAGCTGTGATGCGTATAGTGTGGTGGCAAGTGCTTCTTAATACAGATCCTGACTCAGTTGTTTTCTCACTGTCAGACTTTGTGTGAGCTCTCTAGCCTCCATAGGCTTCACGTTCTTCTGTAAAACAGGCAAAGATAGTTGGGAAATGTTAAGACCTTAAAGTAGGGCTTGACACATGCTTAGTAAATGACAGTTATTATTAACACTTTTCATTGTTTTTAATCCCTAGGATGACTTGCGAAAGGAGGACTTCAGTAGCCTGAGTGCTCAGTTGTTATACAAAATGATCAAATCCAAGACAGAGTACCCACTACATAAAGCTATCAAAGTGGAGAGAGAAGATGTAGTCTTCCTCTATCTTATTGAAATGGATTCTCAGGTATTGTAGAAGCATTTCCATTTTTTTCCTATCTCTCCCCAAACCTAATGCTATCTAGATTCCCTGCTTCCATCTGTACCGTCACTGGACAGTCTAAGAAAGTACTTCTGACATGTTCATGTTGCTTTTAAGCATTTTCTCTCCTGTTCTGTTCCTCAGAATTCCTCAGTCTTAGTACAATCTAAAGCCACATTCATATTTCCAGATGGTTGTCACAGCAGTACCTGACTTCAGGCCCCAATCTTTGTTTTTATTTCTTTCTAAAACAAATTTTCACAAATTCAGTGCCCTAAACCAACACATATTCTGGTCTGGTTGAGAGCACTTCTTGCTTTTGCAGAGGACACGGGTTTGGTTCCCAACACCCACATGGCAGCTCAGAACCATCTGTAACTCCATTCCCAAGGAATCCAACACCCTCTTCTGACCTCTGGAGGCATCAGGCACACGTGGTCCACATATTACATTGAGGCAAAACACTCATGCACATAAAGTACTGTTTAAAATAGTAACAGCAACACATCAGTTTATTACCTATCCAGCTTTGCCTGTTGGAGGTCCAAGCCAAAAGTCACAAGATTAAAATCAAGTTGTTTGTAGACTGTGGTCTTTTATGGAGCTGTGGGGAAGAATCTGTTTCCTGCCCACATAAGTTGTTGGCAGAACTCTCTAGTGGTCTAAGGCCTCCATTTTCTAGTGAGCTAAAGACTGTTCTCAGCTTCTCGATTTTCCCACAGTCCTTAGCTTAAAAGAAGCATTGCTTCTATCTTTAAAGCCAGTAGAGACAGGGCAAGTCCTAATTTCACCCCTTAATGACCTACTCTTCTACATTCCTGTTTCACTGCCCTTCCCCACCCCAGACAGGGTTTGTCTGTGTAGCTTTGGAGCCTGTCTTGGAACTCACTGTGTAGACCAGGCTAGCCTCTAACTCACAGAGATCCACCTGCCTCTGTCTCCCGAGTGCTGGGAGTAAAGGCAAGCACCACCGTCCAGCCTTCTGTTTCACTTTTAAGAATGAATATTGTGGAGCTCAAGAGATGGCTCAGTGGTTAAGAGGTCCTGAGTTCAATTCTCAGCACCACATGGTGGCTCACAACCATCTGTAATGAGATCTGGTGCCCTTTTCTGGCCTGCAGGCGGACATACAGGCAGAACACTGTATACACAATAAATAAATAAATAAATAAATAAATAAATAAATAAATAAATAAATAAATAAATAAATAAATAAGTAAATCTTAAAAAAAAAAAAAGAATGAATATTGTTACAAAGCGGGGCCCTGTGGGCTGGTTCAGAATCCTCCCTAGCTCATGGTACTTAGCCTTAACACATCCGCAAAGGTACTTTTTGCCATGTAAGTTGACATGCTTACATTATCTGGTAATTAGGGCATGAACACCTGTGGGGTGGGGGTGGAGGGTATTATTCTGCATACCACATTGCCTTCAAAGGAGTGCAGACGGAAGTGTGGTTTATCATTAGTGTCTGTGCTAAAGAGGACTCTGTTAAGCCACCTTTTATGAAAATTTTATCTTCACTCTTTTTCATAAAGTTCTCTATGCTGGCTTGTCTGTGGTGTCTGTGTCCTGTGTTGTGTCTGGTGCTTGTCTCGTCCCTCCCCACTCCCCCAGTGCTATCTGCATTTCTCCTGTGGTGGCCTTCAATCACCTCTGTTGCCCTTTGCTCGCTAATCACTATCGTTTTTCTGAGACTGAACACATGTGCTCTCGGGAAGCCTCGTTGGAGGTGTGAGTGATGTTGAGTCTGAGGACTAAGCAATGCCATAGTGCCAGAGCATTAGAATTGGCACTTGGGTAGGAAGTGTGGTGACACATACGTTTATGGGAGAAAGGCCATGTCTGTGAACTTGAGAGCAGCCTGGTCTACATACTGAGACCCTGTCTCAAAAAGGGTTTTCATCTGGGGATGATTAAAGTTGGTTGTATTTTCTGTCTGAGTGCTGATTTCCAGATTTCTCTGTGCAGCTCCCTGGGAAGCTGAACGAAATGGATCATAATGGAGATCTTGCATTAGATCTGGCTCTTTCACGGCGACTAGAGAGTATTGCTACCACTCTGGTTAGTCATAAAGCTGATGTGGACATGGTAGACAAGAATGGCTGGAGCTTGTTACATAAAGGAATCCAAAGAGGTAAGGAGAAGTGAAATTTACATTTTTCTCTGTACACAATATAACTCTTTTTGAAGCTTCCTAGCTCAGTTCCAGGAATTCCCAAAAGACCTTGAGTCTGCACACTTAGCCTGCATGGCTTAGAACTTGTGATTGTTGAGTCAGAGGGTCTGAAACACTATTGGCCTTGTCAGTTTATCTGTTCAGAGGGCCACCAGGGCCTGAGTAAGAGAAGCTAGATAGATGATCTTTAAGAAGTAAGAACCTTTGGAGCCAGGTGGTGGTGGCACATGCCTTTCATCCCAGCACTCAGGAGGCAGAGGCAGGTGGATTTCTGTGAGCTCGAGGCCAGCCTGGTCTACAGAGCGAGTTCCAGGACAGCCAGGGCTGTTAAACAGAAACCATGTCTCGAAAAGAGAAAAAAGGGGAAAAAAGTACCTTTGGAGTAGTGTGGTAGTAATTTCTGTGAGTTCAAAGTCAGTTTAGTTTATATAAACTGTCAGTCAGGGACAGTCAGAACTACACAGAGAGACCCTGTCTCAACAACAAAAATACAACTAAAAACCAAAAAAAGAAATACCTTTGGGGGCTAGAACAGTGGTTAGTCATTTGAGAGCACTTGCTGCTCTTCACAAGACTTGGTTCCCAGTAAGTGGTTCCCAACTGCTTGTAACTCCAGCTCCTGAGGTTCTGACACCGTCTTCTGGTTCTACAGGTATACACCTGACATTCACCCACACAGACATTTGCATACTAAGTTTAAAAAAATTAAAAAGTACCTTTGGCTCACATTGTGAGCAACATATTTCTACTTACTTCATTCCATTTTCTTCAGGAATTGTGCCAGAAGTCTGTTAAAATCTTAGGAAAGGCTTAAAGGCCCAGATAGCCAAAGTAATCCTCAGCAGACAGAGCAGTGCTGAGGTACCAGCAGAGACGCCTGATCTCAGATTATGTTACAGAGACACAGGAACAAAAACAGCATGTTACTGGCCCAGGAGCAGGCATGTAGACTGATGAAATAAAAAATTGAGGACCCAGAAATAAATGCATAGTTATAGCATCCCAATTTTGAGAAATCTGTCAAAAACATACATTGGAGGGAGACTGGAGAGACAGTGCTGTGATTAAGAGTTTCTCTTGCCAACAACCATTTTGGCACCTCACAACTGCCTGTTACTCAAGCTCCAGAGAATCTAACACCTTCTGGACTTCTTGGGCACAGACATACATGTGATACACATTCACAAACACATATTAAAAAAATAATAAAAGTTAAAAAAATACATTGGAGCAAAGACAACCTCTTTTTTTCTTTTCTTTTCTTTTTCTTTTTCTTTCTTTTTTTTTTTTTTTTTTTAGTTTTTCGAAACAGCGTTTCTCTGTGTAGTCCTGGAACCTGTCCTGGAACTGACTCTTTAGACCAGGCTGGCCTCGAATTCACAGAGATCCACCTGCCTCTGCCTCCTGAATGCTGGCATTAAAGGCGGGCGCCACCACTGCCAGGGTAGACAACCTCTTTAACCAAGAGTGAACCTAGATCTATACCTCTCACCTTCACAGAAATCATTTCTGTGATTAATGGAATGTAAGTCTAAAACTTAGAAACTGCTAGAGCAGCAGTTCTGAACCTGGAGGTTGGGGGTGGGGTGTGGTCACAACTCTTTGGGGTTACATTGTCAGCTATCCTGCATATCAGGTATTTACATTGCAATTCATAATAGTAGCAAAATTACAGTTATGAAGTAGCAATGAAATAATTCTGTGGTTGGGGTCACTACAACATGAGGAACTGTATTAAAGGGCCACAGCATTAGGAAGGCTGAGAACCAGTGTGCTAGAAGAGAGAGGTGTAAATAAAACACTTCAAGATACAAGCACAGGCAAGAGCTTTCTGAACACTGTTCCAGCAGCAAGGAGATACATCCCAAAATCAAAATGAAGAGGCTTCTGGACAACAGAGAAAACAGTCACCAGAGGGAGGAGACCTTTGCTGGTCACATATCAGATGGGGAATATTCAAAGAATGTAAAGAACTGCAAAAATTAAACAGTTTTTAAAAAGCATCCAGTCAATAAATGAGCTAAACTGTCAGGTCTCAAAAAAGGATATACAAATGGCGAATAAAACTTGAAAGTGGACCACATCTTTAGCCACCAGGAAAATACACATTAAAATTCCTTTGAGAGTCTATCTCATTCCAGTTTGAGGTTGTCATCAGGAAAATAAATGACAGGATAAAGAGATGGTTCAGTAGATAAAGGCACTTGCTGCCCAGCCTGTTCACCTGAGTTTGATTCCCATGACCCACATGGTAGAAGGGGAGAATTGACTCTGGAAAGTTGTCTTCTGACCTCCACCCTCAGGCCATGGCCATGTGCATGCCTGCTTGTCTGCATGCACATGAAATAAACAAATACAAAGAAATAAAAAATAAAGGACAAGTGGAGAGATGGAGAGTGGGTATGAGTCAGTTATGAGGTGCAGAGTTCTAATCCCAGCACACAGGTAATAAACTGGGATTTCTGTGTGTACACCTGAATTCCACCTCCAAGGTAGGCCCAAGACAGATCCTCCCAGCCTGCTGCCTTCAGCCTGTCAGAAAAAGTATAAGCCCCGAGGTTCAGGGAGAGACACTGCCTCAGAGGAATAGACAGAGTAAGAGGGGGACACCCAACAGCCTCTTCTCATTCCATGCATGCACACAGGCATGTGCACCTGCACATATGTGCATGCACTCAAAACGGCACATACAAATAAATAACAAAAATAAAAAATCCTCAGGTGCTAATGAGGATATGGAGAAAGAGGAATTCTGTTTTGTTTTAATTTTTGAGACAGAGCCTCACTATGTAGACCAGTTGGCTGTGAACTCACAGAGGCTGCCTTTGCCTCCCAAATTCTGGGATTATATTTGCTGATAGGAATGTAAACTTGTACAGCCATTATGAAAAATCAGTGTGGAGATTTCTCAAAGTCAATTAAAGTAAAGCTGCTGTGTGGCACAGCTCGTTTATACGGGTGAAGGCCTCTAAGTTGGCACACAGAGGTGTTTGCGTATGTTTGTGGTTGCGCTGTCCTAATAGCCAGAAAGTGGCATTTCATCAACAGATGACACTGCTGTCCCTCGGCTGTGGTTTTGTTGTTTAACAGAACGTGCTGTGTGAATGTTGATGGTGCTGCAGCTGCAGCTCTCGCCCCGTTCTGGGCAGTGTTTAGGGTAAGTGTCCTTCGGAGCGATGTAGAGTGTTGAGCTTGCTGGCTGGTAGAGAGGAAAGTTTTACTCATCACTGGGTAGGAAACCCTTAGAGCAGGGCGCTGTGGAGAACAGATGCGCTGTCCCAAGCACACACAGCACTTGGCTCTGGGTTTGTGCTCACTGGGGAAAGTTTCTACCACATAGGGAATTGTTCTCTCCCACTCCGTTTAGTATCTGAAGTGTTTATTTTGGAAACAGATTCGCTTGTTACTAAAAAAACAATTAAGTTCCTTTCCTCTCTGGGAGCTGAATTCTTCTGTTTCATGAAAAACATCTCTGGTGAGTTATTAAATATTTGGGTGATTGCTTAGTTACAGGAATTGCCAAGACAGTTTTGATGTGTGTTCTAAAGTGATTTAATCTTTCATTCTGAATGTGTGAAATGTCTGAAAGCATGTGGATTCCAGTGTGGATATAGCAGACTTTTAGAGGGGTGTGGCCCGAGCAGAGCACTGACTTGGGCTTGAGTCCCGGCTCACGTGTTGCATTGACAGTCACTTGTCCACACTTGTGTTGACTTTTCTTGTCTATAAAATGGGAAGGGATCTTTCTGCTTCACCAGGCTGTTAGCACAGTGAGACAGGATGGGGATGCACCCCAATGACTGCCAGTTAACCAGTAGAGTAAACACAGTGGCCTTTATCTTGTCTGGGCATTAGAGTACCATAGATAGCCAGACCCTGTAGGAATTGTTTTCTTTTCACTGAGGTCCCACTGAAACACTGGGTCTCCTAGAACTCTACATGGTAGAGCCTGGGCTCAGACCTGCAGTAGTCCTCCTGCCTCTGCCTCCTGTGTTCTGGGTTTTAGGTATGTGCCACCCTCTCTGAGGGATTGTTTGACTTTGCCTCCTCCTTCAACTGACTGTTACTTGGTTAGCATTACCCAATGACTGAGTGCTGCCTTTAAGTTTGGCTACTGACCTTGCTTCTGATTTATTATGAGTGATGGGGGTTTGTTAATAGATGAATGAAGTCTAGGTTTACTTGGAGATGCATATTAGAATCCACAAAACATTAGTGGTCACCTTACTAAGGAAATGCATCTGTCAGTCGGAAGAATTTGGTGGTGACAGGATCTGTGAGGCCATTGGAGACCCACATAGGGCATTGTTACCATCTCTTCCGATTAGCCTGACCTAAGCAAGATGATGTGTCCTTTCATAACAATTCTAGTTTTCTACCACTTAAAAACCTGCAATGGCTAGATGGTGGTGGCGCACGCCTTTAATCCCAGCACTCAGGAGGCAGAGGCAAGCAGATCTCTGTGAGTTCGAGGCCAGCCTGATTTAAAGAGCAAGAGCCAGGACAGGCACAAAGCTACACAGAGAAACCCTGTCTCTGGAGAAAAAAAAAAAAAAAACTACCCTGCAATAACCTGGACTCTCCTGACCAATTATTTGTAGTAAATTTTAAAACAAGGACTATTAACTATGGTTTGTATTATCTTAATGATGAAGGTTACTCGCTATTCCCTGAATAAAACTGTCATAAAACTGAAAGAAAAGTTGTGTGTATTGTTTAACATTGGTTAGGAATTTTTGGTTTTTCAAGACAAGGGTTTCTCTGTGTAGCTTTGACACCTTTCCTGGAACTCACTCTGTAGCCCAGGCTGGCCTTGAACTCAGAGATCTGCCTGCCTCTGCCTCCCGAGTGCTGGGATTAAAGGTGTGTGCCACCGCCGCCACTGCCCAGCTGGTTAAGAATATTTTTATGTGGAAAAATGATGACAATAATGCCTCGTGTAGCTGGCATTGTTGGTGACTGAGGAAAGCAAGTGGCTGGAAGTCTTCAGCAAGAGATACTGTTTCTCTGGTGCTAAGGCTCGAACTGAGGCCTTTAAGCATGCTGAGCAGTGGCTGAGTTCGAACCCCATCCTTGCCCTGTTAGATGGAATGTGTAGAGGGCTGTTTCCTTGTTGGTAAGAACCTTACTAGGACCTAGCTTTCAGTTCCCTTCTTTGTCTTGTTCTCTGCATGTTTTTTTCTTCTTGTTTATTTACCTTCTGGACTGTCTTCCCTTAATTCAGCTTCTAATAATTCCTAAAGAGTGCTTTTTTTGTCTAAAGTACATATAAATGAATGATTATAAATTATGAATTGATTTTTGGGTCTAACCTTTAAGTAAATTTGACTTAAAGTCAGTAAATCCTTTAAAAAGACTTAAGTCATAAAAATGTTGGCCTGGAATGGTGGTTCTTGCCTGAAATCTCAGCAGTTGGGAGGCTGGACAGGAGAGTGCTGCCAATTAGAAGCCTGCCTGGCCACAGAGAAAGACCGTTGTGTTAAAGAAAATTAGGATAGGAGATGGTTTCTATTACACTTTCTGTCAGAATGTAACCATCTGTAGGTTTTCCTGTGTCTGTGTCCTCATCACTCTCTTCAGAAGGAGACCTAGGATTCTGGTAGAGAGTCAGTTATCTGAAATCAGAATTGATTGCAGTTAGAGCCTGTCTGTTAAAGTAAAGCCCTCAAGTTCATCTGTTTTCTTCCCCAATATTTTCCTAAGGCCAATTTTTAAAGACGTTGGTGGATGAGTACTAGGTAGAAGCTAATTGGTGCCACCTGGAGGTCACTGAGAAAAATAACTGCTTCCAGGCTGGAGAGATGGCTCAGAGGTTAAGAGCACTAGCTGTTCTTTCAATGGTCCTGAGTTCAATTCCCAACTACATGGTAGCTCACAGCCATCTGTAATGAGATCTGGTGCCCTCTTTTGGCTTGCAGGCATACATGCAGGCAGAACACTGTATACATAATAAATAAATAAATAAATATTAAAGAAAAGAAAAGAAAAAATATTCAAAAGTCTCTCAAAAATAAAATTAAAAAAAAAAAAAACAAACTGCTTCCACCCCACAGAGACAGAGAGACGGAGTGTGTGTGTGTGTGTGTGTGTGTGTGTGTGTGTGTGTGTGTGTGCGCGCGCGCGCGCGCGCGCGCGCGGGCCCACGTCTGTTACTGTTAGACAGCAAAAGCATCTTGAAGGAAGGGACCAGGGCAGATCATCATGGGGAATCAAAAGGTGGACAGAAGAGCCTTTTGAAATAAAGTGTAACTCTGTGGACTGTCATGGATTTCCACCTCCAGCTATCCAAGAGATTGCCTCAGACACCCCCAGATGTCCTTCTCCTGTGTCTGCAGTTATCACTTGCTTCCTTCAGAGGAAGTATTGGCCACAGTAACTGGGTGTTGTCATGTCAGTGTGTGTTCTGTTCTTTCTTTCAAGGAGATCTCTTTGCTTCTACATTCCTCATTAAGAACGGGGCCCTTGTCAATGCTGCCACATTGGGGGCCCAGGAGACCCCGTTACACCTTGTAGCGTTGTATAGTTCAAAGAAATACTCAGCAGATGTGATGTCTGAGATGGCGCAGATTGCAGAGGCCCTCCTACAGGCTGGCGCCAACCCCAACATGCAGGACAGCAAGGGCAGGTGAGTACGCTGTCCAGAAGAGGGTTGTCATGGTGGCACAGTAGTGGACATTCTTAAATCTGATGTCTACTGAAGCTGCAAACATTTATCTGGCATGCAATTAAGTGTCATGACTAAGACTAGAAGCATTTGGGGAAAACATTTGCAGCCTGGCCAAATAAGGTCTGAATTTCTAAGCAATTTATATCATTTTCCTGTTGAACGCAACCAGAGTGATCATCTAGTCAGTGTTTACAAGGACTTTCTTTAGCATTTTTTAGGGTCTCTTGAATAGTTTGAAGAGGAACTACTACCTCAAGGCAACCTGTTTTATCTTTCTGAGATCTAATAGTTAGAAAATTCCTGATTTTAAACCCAATTCTGCCTTATAACTATCTTAACTTTTGATGACTTGTTATCTCTAGGGCGTGTTACCCTTGTTGCTCAGCCCTTCCTCTATTTGATAGTGTCTCTGGGTTATGTTTAGTGTTTTACATTCTTACAAGTTTTTAGTTTTATTTATTTGTTATTTTATGTGGATGGGTGTTTTGGCTGCATGTGTATCAGTGCTCCACATGCATGCAGTGCCTGTAGACAGAGAGGTGTGTAGGATTCCCTGGAACTTCAGTAAACGGATATTTGTGAGACATCATGTGGGTGCTAAGACTCAAATCTAGGTCCTCTAGAAGAGCAAGTAGTGCTCTTAACCACTGAACCATCTCCAGCCGAGTTTCTGTTGTTCTCGTGTCTTCTCAGAAGGAGTTAGTTTAGGATTCCTTGTGGTTTAGAATTGTGGACAGGGTTGCCTGTCTTGAGGCAGAAGGGTAGGAGGCTCTGAAGTGCAGTTGAGCCCCTTCCCTCAGCAGCCTCGGGCAGGGCCATAAGCACCACACGCCATCAGCTCAGTTCAGTGTTTGAAACCCACCCAGGATGTCAGATTTTTGAGGCTAGTTGTCAGGAGAGGGTCTATGCAGTGGGTCATGTGCAGAGATAAGATGGCCCAGGAACTCGGTGTTGCTACTAATCAATCACTCATTCTGTCAAGCAGTTACATCCTTCCTCCCTCGTGCTGATTCTTTGGGTTTTTTTCCCCTCCAATTGCAGTAAACTTGGGCAGTCTGTCCATCTGAGGTAGAGGCCAGGCTCGGGCCCTGTGCTCCAGTGGCAGCCCTCTCTCAAGGCACTTGAGTACTAAATAAACATGGTGAAGAACAGGTTCACTTGGACCAGTTCTGTCTTGTCGCTGCTGTGTGCTCCTGTGCTAGTAGAAGATGACAGCGAAGAACAGTTTCTTCTCAGAGCGGTGGGGGATGGGTGAGAGAAAGTGTGACAGAAGCTGCTGTTTAACACACTCCTGCAGGAAGGGGTTAGAAATGGAGGCGAGCTGTGGGCCATAAAGCAAATCCATTTTCATGTTTTGATTCTTGGCTATGGTTTTGGAAAACAGAGTAATGGAATTGGTTGTAGATGGTGATTCTACCAAGGATTCTCGTTCTTGTCTGCTGTGAGTGTCTGGCTTGGTCTGTCTTGCATTGACACTTGTTCTAATTCATTTTATTCTGTCTTACCCTCAGGACTCCCTTACACTTGTCCATCATGGCCAGGAATGAATATGTGTTCAACCAGCTGCTGCAGTGTAAACAGTACGTAGGGCGGCCTGGAGAATGAAAAGCGGTTTTGAGGGTGGGATTGTGAGTGAAAAATCTTTCCTTATTAAAATTTTTTAAAACACTATTGTTCATCTGTTTGTTTGGCACGAGGTCTGATTATGTAGTCTAGGCAGGCCTGGAATTCAAAGTCCTGCTTTAGTCCCCCAGTACTGGGATTACTGGCTATCACACCTAGCCTGAAGTTTTCTCTTAAGGGGCTTTGCAGTTATAAACCTTAAGTAAAATAAAAATTTGTCCTTTAGAAAGTACAGGGAGAGAGTGAGCTGTTGGCAGCAAAGAGAGGCTTGATATTGTACTGTCATTCACACGGCCTCTTTATTTCAGGTTAGACTTAGAGCTGAAGGATCACGAGGGCAGTACTGCGCTCTGGCTTGCCGTCCAGTACATCACCGTGTCTTCTGACCAGTCCGTCAACCCCTTTGAAGACCTTCCTGTGCTGAACGGAACGTCCTTTGATGAGAACAGCTTCGCAGCCAGGCTCATCCAACGCGGCAGCAACACTGATGCTCCAGATGCAGTGACGGGTAAACCATGGGCCCAGGGACTGAGTTCCTTGTGGTTTGATGGCAGGGCTGGGAATGCAATGCTGGCCTCAGACTTGCTAGCTCAGGCTAGCCTTGAACGTGTTGTCTTCCTGCCTTAGCCTGAGTACTGGGATTACTAGCATGTGCTACCATGCCAGCTTGTAAATGTTTTTAATAATACAGAAATGGAATGGCTTACTATTATGAGAATTATTTGTTTTACATTTAATTTTAAGCTCTGTAAAATCCCATTGTGGTTTGTTTGTTTGTTTGTTTGTTTTAATCTCGTGTTCCAAATAATTTAACCAGACATTAGTTTAAGTCTTGTAAGCTAAAACATACCTGGTAAATTAAGGCAACGATTCTTAGACTTTGTAGACTCAAAATTTCTTTTGCCCTTGTAGGATTTACATTCAGTGAGTTTTTCTTTGGATGATTATACCTTTAGTATTTACTAGAGTCAGAAAATCAAAATGAGAATTTTTTTTTTGTTTTTGTTTTGAGACAGAGTCTTGTTAAGTATATGTAGGCCAACCTGGACCTGAACTGGAGATTCTCCTGCTTCAGCCTCCCAAGTACTGAGATTACAGACACAATCTACAACACCCAACCTCTAAAACCAAGAAACTTTCGTTTTTAATTTGATTTTTAGGTTTATCTTCTTTTATGTGTATGAGTGTTTGCCTGCGTGTATCTTTGCCACATGCTTGTTTGGTGCCCTTGGAGGTTAGAAGAAGTCATCAGATCTCCGGAAATGGGAATCAGAGATGGTTGTGAGCTGCTGTGTAGATGCTGGGAACCTGGATCCTCTGGAAGAACAGCAAGTGCTTCTAACTACTAAGCATCTCTCCAGATCCCAAACTGAGAAACTTTGAAGAGCTGTATTAATCAGTTTATAGTATAGAGAATATATTCATTATGAAAATAACTTGTAAAACACGTTAGTGAGAAGAGCAGGTAGTTTCTCGTATCTGCGGTTGTGTTCGGTCTTTTCAGATGTGCTGTTCTGGTTAAAGTGACTAAAGAATGCACATCCTTTGAGACTTGTGGAAAGGGGAGGCACATTTTGAGTATCATAGGAAAGTCACACCAGTTTTGCTTTGAATGGATTGTTTTTCTGTGCATGGTTCTAGAACATTATGCCTTAGTCATTGGCGAGTGTTGGTTCCCTGTGTTGTAGATGATCCGTGTTTCATATTTCAGAACTTCACTCACTGATTACTGTTCATCTCATCAGAAGTCTTTCACTGTAAAGAAATATCAAACTTGGGGTTGCAAAGTTTTCCAAAATTCAAATTTTCATATTAAAGTTTATTTTTTATCATTAGGTTAAAAATATCAATTTTTTTTAAAATTGTTTTTCTTGAAGAGACAGGCTCATTTTCAAGAGAATGTCTACTAAGTTTTCAAGTTTGGATAACAGTTGTGTAATGGGAATCATTCTGAGTAAAAACCCTGGCCCATGACCCTGTGCTGAAATTGTTCAGCATGCACCTTAATGCACGTGTGCTTTCTCCAGACAGCATGCTTTGCCGTGGAGTAGCAGCTTTGCCTTACTTCTTCTCATGTAGCACACAGGCCCTTGTAGGCTCATGAGCACAACACGCTCAGTGTTGAGAGTTAGTAAAATTAGGTGGGGTTTTATTTATTTATTTATTTATTTATTCATTTATTTATTTATTTATTCATTTATTTATTTTTGGTGTTGTTTTGTTTGGTTTAGTTTTTTTGGTTTTTTGAGACAGGGTTTCTCTGTGTAGTTTTGGTGCCTGTCCTGGATCTCTCTCTGTAGCCCAGGCTGGCCTCGAACTCACAGAGATCTGCCTGCCTCTGCCTCCCAAGTGCTGGGATTAAAGGCGTCCATCACTGCCCAGCTAGGAGTTTTGTTTTGTTTTGTTTTTTGTACCAAAAGTATAGGTTTGTTGACTGTGAAAATGAGGGCACAAAGTGCACTCCACAGGAGTGATCCAGCACCTTGGCACTGCTGGGATCTGTTAGGCATTTGAATCCCCCTGACACTGATTTGGCAACATCAGCACAGTGTAGGGAAAAGTAAAGATTCTGTAAAAATGGTTCTGACCTGTTGATGCCCTGCAAGACTCCAGAAACCTACAGGAATCCATAGGCCACACTTGGGATGTCCCTGTTTTCATATATTTCACTGAACTGGCTAAAGAAAAAATGGTAGTGTTTTGTTTGTATTCTTTGTATGTTTTGCTTTTTGTTGTTGTTGTTAAGACAGGGTCTCTTAGCCCTGGCTAGCATGTGCTACCATTCCCAGATCAGCATGGGAATATTTTAAGGACAAGGATTCCATATATAAGTATCGAGTACTCACAGAAAGCATGAGTTGGGGGCTTCTGAGATGGGTTAGTGGGTAAAGGTGCTTGCCATCAAGCCTGATGATCTGGGTTTGATCCCCAGAGCCCACAGGGTAGGAGAGAACAGTCCCCCACTTGTCCTCTGACCTCCAGACCTGTTTAATGCATTGTCTTATTGACCCTTAACACACACACACACATAGAATAAATGGATGTCAAGCATGGGTAGAAGCCATTAACAAAGACAGTTGATTCCTAGCTCCTTTAAAAAAGATGAATAGTAAGCAATACTTTTGTTAAAGTGATAATAACTTTTAATAAAGGTAAAAGGGCTGGGGGTATAGCTCAGAACCACATGCCTGTGACCTTGAATTTAGTTGTAACCCATGATACTAAAAAGAAAGAAAGAAAGAAGGGTCAGAAAAAAATCACCACTCTAGCTCTGGATGGTTGTCCATGTTTGTAATCCAAGCACAGGCTAGGATCACTGCAAGTTCAAGGCCAGCCTGATTTACACAGTGACTCCCAGTCAGCTAGGACATAACAAGAAAAAAAAAAAAACAGAAGAAAAAGAAATTCCACAGTAGTTAACAAAAGCTAAGTTTTACTGCACTGTTTTAGACTAAACACCTGGAAATGCCATCGTAACTACATAATAATCTATAAATTGTATTGGTTATTTACTTTAATTTTTGTTGATTTCTGACTTTAATTACATTATATAAGAGTGTGGCATGAAAAAGACTGGTTCTTTGGTATTTAGGACTTGAATTTTGTTGTATTATCATTTTCTCTGAAATTTCCCACCTGCTACCTCCATATCATTGAGCTTGCACCCAGGAACTTGCATAAGCTGGCAAAAGTATTACTGAGCTGCATTTTCAGCATTAGAACATGTTCTTTTTAAAATGTGATATATTGTTTAAAATAACAAGCATTTATTCATGGGAATGCAGCATTTTCTTTGTTATTAACTCAAAGTTGTCCATTAACACTGTTCAAATCTTCATGTACTCTAATCAGCTTTGGATTGCTCTGTCTTTCATCTCCTTGAACCTCTTTCCCATCCTCCCTCCTTCCATTAATGATAGGAATCAAACCCAGGGCCTTATGCAACTAATAAGTATGCTGCCAGTGAGCTATACCCCGTGCCCCTCCCCCACCATTGATTAGTCTCAAATTTTTCTTACTGTTGAGACAGTATTTTATACTATAAACTTTGAGTTTTAGCCTAGATTTTTTGGTTTTGAGGCAGGTTCTAATTTAGCCCAAACTGCTCTCAGATTTGATGTGTAGGTGAAGATGACCTCGAACTCCTAAATCTTTCCCTCATTTTTAGATTTATTTATTTTGTTTAGTCTCAGCTCTCTGAGTAGAACTTACTGCCTTTAGCTTTTGTTACCTACTATGAGGATTTCTTTTCTTGCTATGTTGTACCAGCTGACAGAGCCACCTCACAGAGCTATAGGAACCAAACCTAGGTCCTCTTCAAGTGTATTCAGTGCTCTGAACTGCTAAGCCATCTCTCCAGCTCCCTCTTTATTTTACCTTCCAATCTCCAAGCAGAGATTCTGGGCATGTATTATACCCAACAGAAGTTGAGATCAGAATGACTATAACTATAGATGAAGTCACTTTCTGTGAAGGGAAAGAAAAAAAATGATATAAAGACCAAGTAGTGTTTTGTCCATTTCCTTTTCTTTCTTTTTCTTTTTTTTTTTTTTTTTT